TAGATAGACTATAGATACACTTTTACATGTAGATAGCAAGGAGAGAGAGCGAGCATGATTAATATACTTTTTAGGTCATGTACTTTACGATACATTTTATGATTTATCCTAACTTAAAGACACTATCAAAAACATAACTTAGGACTAACATATGCCTGAAGATCATATTGGGACCTGTCTTAGTCCTAAGATACCCGTTCGGAATATGAATGCAATAAATTAATGCTAGTGATTTCTTTCATTTTTTTAAATTTATATCACTCAATTTTAGCACATATTGTTTTCTATATATTAGTAAAAGTCAATGAAAATATACGCAGCCTTGAATATTGCATAGTCAAGAATAGCTTGACATATTTTCTGACATTAATCACATTAAAAAATTGACTTGAAAGTTCATATATTCGCAAAAGAACCGCAAATTTTCTGACATAAATCACAATCACAAACTGACTTCATATATTTACCCGCAAAATATGTAAGGAATACAACGTTTCAAGTATAAAATTTTATCAAACTTCCCTTGCCTTTCAAATTGGGAAAACTTCATATCTATTTGCTGATAATGTTAATAATAGTACAACTAAAAGTTACTCCATCTTGATAGTAAAAATAAGGAGATGTGGTCTGATTTCTAATGTGACAACTGTCAACCAAAGACCAGATGACTCGGGTGGAAACAACAACAGGTCACCGTAATGCATGTTTGGAACGTTGGAAAACTGTTTTAACAGTAAATTTGAGATGAATTGGGTAATGTAAGGATTTACCAGTTTTAAAGTCAATTTCTTTCAACCTGAAGTAACAAAGAACATACAAACAAACTATCCTTTATTATCAATTTGGGCTCATCTAGAGGCACTGTTGTAAAAAAGGCTAAAACATCATTAGTGTATTTAAACAAGAAAAAATATGAAGAAAACACTAAAGTGCTTGTCATCAGTAAATATATATCTCTGGAAATTTTACTTTTATATTTAACTTTGAGGCAATTATTTACGTCTTCGTTTTCGTGCTTTCGACGTGGCCGTCTCCATGGTCTCCGTCCACTCACAGTCTGTACATACGTCATCAATAAATGTAAGTTTCTTATACACACCTGTAAACACGATCGCAATCGTTGAAAGTTCAGCAAGATTTCATGAATGGTATTAGATAAATGCCATTGATAAATTGTGTGATAGTGTAGTATACACTATAGAAAAATCAAATAAATCCACGTGACCTTCAAATGAACGTAGTTTACCCAATAGCCAGTATAATGGTATTGACAAAATTTATAACATACCTTTCTTTAAAATTCTCTGTTGATAAAATCACAATTTATTAAGAAACCAAGGTTCAAACTTCTCATAGCAAAATTGACCTTGGATGGATTTGGATATACTTTTTATTTCTATTTTGGTTCCTTTCAGTCAATTACATATAGCTTTCGGAAATTCCGAATATTTAAGTTCTTATACATATTAGGCTTTCGAAGTTTTGGGTTTGAGCGTTCCTCTTGACGGTAAATCCAGAAAAGCACCTTTGGGGACGCACCAATTTTTATAAAGTGTTCTTTTCCATTTTTATATTTCTTAGATTTTTTCGCACTCCAAGACAGTTAATAAATCTAGAAAAAAAGAGATACAAAGGAAACAATCAAAGCTCATAAGTCGAATAGAAACTGACAAATCCATTACCAAAAACCGAAAGACGACGAAAAAACAAACCCACATAACAATACACAGACAACTAAAGACTGATCAGCACGAATCATATCAAAACCTGAAGGGGATCTTAGGTGCTCCGGAATGGTATGCAGATCCTGCTCCATGATGGTACCCACCATGTTGCTCATTCGAGTACACATTCGGTGATAAGTCTCATTTAGTGATGTTACAATCGAGGAAAATAAGACGGGATTGTGATAACGGTAATAGTAACATATACGTGGTCATCTGTGACACAGATATTAAATAACGGTCAATCAAATCATGATGGCGTCAATAAATCTTCCGAACGATGTCTTAAAATTTCTTACTTGGAATCCTTGGTTCAATAGCTTCCTTTTAAGTAACAACCCCTTAAAAGGGAAACCTTATAAGAAACACAAGCTCTGGAACAACGTAATAACTGGACACGATCTTTGTCATAGTATTGGATAATAAATTCGTTGATTGTACGAGCACAAGTCAGAAGAAATCGGAGTATTTGTACTTAAAACATTAAATTGATGCATCACATATCGTTGACATCTTTCCAGTTAATACTCAACATATCTCATCGGAACATTTAAAAGCTTATTCCTTGTATAGCATGCATCCCATTTCAATAATGTAGTCCTACACCATGCCGACAATATATTGACATAACATTCATTAACTGTTTAATTTTAGTAGTGATAAAAATAGAGTTGTGTCTGAAACATTGCATGTTTATGGAAAGTGACAAAGAATAGAAAAATTATTTTAATGTTCTCCCTACTAGTATATATGATACAGTATGACACATAATCTTACCTACCTAGGATTATCATTAATATGGGGTAAGTGGGCGTGTTCTATTTGATACACGGTTAGTAGTGGTGTTACGTCCCTTTATAAAAACAACACGACGTTGAGTGAAAAAATCTGAAACTTTTCGCCCGGACAACAGATGAAGAAATTGATGATCAACGATTGAAAATAAATGCAGAAAACACATTAAAAGCTAACAAGTTGTTGTTGTTGGCAATTATTTTTGTAAAATAGACAAATGGAAGTAGGTTCTTAAAATTGAAGACTTGACTCACTTTGATAGGCCATTAGTCTAAATGTCACATGATAAGAAATTCGGTGCGATAAATTCGTTACACAGTGTGCTAGTGACCTAATAACCTAATACGATATATATGGGTTCAGTAAATTCCATATGGGGTTCGAGCTTCGTTCGAGCTTCGCTCTCACCCTATATGGAATTCATTGACCCCATATATATACTAGTCAACAAAAGTAACGATACACAAGTTTGAACTCCAATTTATCATAAAATATAATAAATAGGAAAAACTGTTAAATTATCCAATAAAAAACATTCATTTGCAAAGCAAATGCATATGATTAAAAGAATCTGACCAAATTGAAAAGTAAGAAAATACCGTGTTATTGAACACAGGGGTCAAATTTATTTTGCGGAAAATGATGACAAAAGTCGGCAATTAATTTCGAAGATGAGAATTAAGTATTCAAATATATGCAAAGGCATTCAAAATTTTAAACAGACCTTATTTAAGTTTAAAGTTTTAAGTTCTAATATCGATTTTTGATTTTTTTGGGTGAAAATGCGATTTTTGAAATAACAAAAATTCCAAAAGAACAAAATTCGCGTATTTGCCTTAAATCAATGGTTTTGATAAGAAAATAACACTCTGTAAATATTAGACCAATTGGGCAATTATTTACCTTGGTATAGTGTATTCAATTTCATTATATATGGAAAATACTTTGCCTTGTATTGTGTCTTTTGTTGACTTGTATATCGTATTAGGTCACTAGCACACTGTGTTACTAATAATATCATGTACAAATGTGCGTTCAAGACGCATAACTCAAAAGCAAACAATGTTTGAAAAAGTAACAAGATTGAAATTTGAAGGAATAACGCATGTATATTAATAACAAGTGACTGAAATTGTATCTTATGGTTGTTCTCTGAAATAATAAAAGCGATTTCTAATGTAATGCTTCTTTATAAGTAGACATAATTACAAAGAAAGGAAAACATAAGATAATGGACAATTTAAACATATCACGAGTCTAGCATACCGCATATTACATAAATAAGAAAACAGTACATGCATGTATACAATAATTAATCGTTGTATGATCTAATAAGGAGACGAATAAAATAAATATTTAAAAAAAAAAGTATCATATACCTTATTGAAAGGGGAAGTAATTATAGATGGTCAAGTTTCATCTATTTGGTCATAAAGTTGCAGAAGATATACAATTTCATTCTCAAGTAGACAGAATACAAATTTCAAAACTTGTAAACGAGTAAATATGTCCTCGATATTCCAGTTCAACAAACCAAGAGTTGAAAATGTTGCAAACGTTACGAGACATGCTTTATCAAATAGCTATTTCCACATTCACTTTTCTACAACACCGTAAACGCCCCATTACGACACGATTAAAAAATCGAGCGCCTTTAAGGCGTTTACTTTAAGCTTGACCTTCCGTAAAAGGATAATTGAAGAACTTTACAAAAAATTTGAACAAAAATTAAAGAATTATAACAATGCGAGTAGGCAAATAGTGCCCTTGGTCACTAACATCTGAATTATGAAACAAAAACTGAAAGCAGATAACAATAATTCATTATTTGAATTTCATATTTACTTTCAACGGAGAATTGACTATATAATAAATTGTTTCCTTATACTTCCCATTTGTGATATTTTTTTGTTTTAAAATACCTGTGTTTAAATACAAAATAATGTAAGTGGTGTATTTCTTATTTTAAGTCTCTTCACAATAATCGAAACGATTTATGTTTTCATATTCAGTTTACATATGTATGTAAGAGCGTAATTTTTCGAAGATAGAATATTTCGGTCTAAAAAGATGATCAATTTTCTTCTCGACAAACAGTAACGTTGACAATGTACCTACATGTGCTTTCGATAATGCCTCGCAAAGCTATAGTAACTTATTAATTATTAATTATATATTCAAAATTAAAATGTACTAAAGTTAATGAATATCAAATGATATTCAAGTAGTGTCATCTCTTTTATGAGGGTCTGGATGGGGTTAACAGAATACAGACCAAAACATAAAAAGAATCGAGAGGAAAAAAAAAGGCCAAACAAATTAAGAATAAAAAACACCCCATCCAGACCCGCTTTTATACGTTTCCGAACTATTTTTTTTGTGTATTCTTTATTTAGGATCGGACTTATTTTAACTTCGCTTTTTCCACTTTTTCAGAATGACATTATGTAACTAGTTGTTATTGTAGTACATGCTTTGTTTATGTTATTTTGTACTTGTCATCAAGATTATTTCGAAATCAGCACCATAAACAAAAAAGCCAAATGCAGTTTCCGCTCCAAAACTTTCACGGTTGACTGCACCGGGAAAAATCTGACAAGAATTCCGAACTTTGGAAAATCTTTCAAAACGCTTATTCTAGCGAAAAATCAAATACAGGATATCCCGAATGGAATCTTCTCATCGCATGAAGCTCTAGAAGTTTTAGATTTATCACACAATAGTCTTACAAATTTGAGATCCGGTTCATTTAAGGGACTGGTAAACTTACTGCGCTTAAATTTAAAAAGCAATAAGCTTGGAAAAAATAATGTAACACTACCAAAAAGCTGTTTTAAATATCTTAAAAAATTACGACATCTATCTTTAAAAAGGAATTCTTTTACATTATTTCCTGATATATCTTCAATTCGATCACTGCAGGTTTTGAATGCGACCTTTATTAACGGAATGACTTTCTACTCGCAATCAGCATCACTTAAAAATCTAGCTTATTTAGACTTATCTGGACCTTCGTCGTGTAAGCCAAAAGCAATGAACAAGCATACCTTTAGTGCTCTTACGAGTTTGCTTTATTTAGATGTGTCCAACAATGACTTGCGCAGTATTATGAAAGGGACGTTTTTACAAATGAAATATTTGCAGTATTTGGACATATCTTATAACACAAGACTTGGACTAGCAGGAGTTGAAAATGTCACACACGATTTACCGCATACATCAATACGAGTTTTTAAATTTCAGAAGATAGTTCTTACATTTTCTATGAATCAGATGCTCATGAAAAATCAGATGAAACCTCTTAATGAAACTAAAATAAGAGAGATTTATGCTGACAGTAACCGTATTCAGCTGGTTGAATTCGGAGCAATCAGTTATTTACCAAACACTATAGAAAACATTTCCATTGGTGAAAACTGGCTATCTTATGGAGCTTACATTTTTGAATTACAAAAACTCTCTACAAAAGTTATAAATGCTTCATTTCTTAGCTGGTCACATGATCCTAGAGAGGAAGACACTGGGTGGTGTATATCTGGAGAAAATTCAATGGAAATTGACAAAACCTTTAATAAATGCGTGTCAGATCAAGGAACTCCAGTCTCAGGAATCACGAAACTCGCATCCCCTTTGAAGCTCGATTACTTCAAAACCATTAATCTCCCTAAAAATCTTAAAGAATTATATTACACCAGTTGTAAATTACAATTTGAGATTCCAAAACTTAATTTCAGTAATAATAAACTTGAAAAAGTAGATTTTTCTTCGAACATATTTTATTCATTGAAAGGTCCTTTGGTAAATTTAAAACACTTAAATTCTCTTGATTTATCAAACAATTTTTGTTCGAATATTTCTACAGTATTCTTCTCAGGAACCCCAAATATTAAGACATTAAAGCTTCAAAATAATCTATTAGGATTTGTTTTGCCAAAAGACAAAGGAGGTGAAATATTCAATCATTTAGTACATTTAGAAACCATTGATTTATCGGAAAACAAAATTTCGGTCATACCCCGATTACTCTTTGGATCGCAGGTCAACATACGGAATATTCATTTAGCAAGTAATTTGATTGAAAGAGTACACTTCCAAATTGAGCATATGGTAAATCTCTCTGTTATAGACATTTCAAACAATGCTATAATGTTTCTGGATACTGATGAAACTGACGAACTTGACAAAGCGGCAGAGAGAAGCGGCAATCTTACCATAGACCTAAGCGGGAATCCAATTCAATGCACATGCAACAATATAAATTTTATCAAATGGATAGCGTCAACTAAGATTCGTCTTAAAAACTTAAAATCGTATTCCTGTCTTCTCAATAACCAAACAAAAACTACACTCAAAGACCGAAACGCGCTTTTAAAAATGCTTGAGAAAGAATGTTCGACGTATCTTGGTTTGATAATGGCTACTGTGTCTTTAGTAGTTCTTTTTATTATCATTGTAATAAGTGGCCTTATATACAGATATCGATGGAAGCTGAGATACATGTATTTCATGACAAAATTTAAATTCAAGAGAGGGCCGAATTTACTAGATCTTTCCTACGACTATGATGCCTTTGTTTCCTATGCCGAAGAAGATCAGCATTTTGTACATGAAACATTTCTAACCAACATTGAAGAAGGAGCAGAACTTCGAGTGTGTCTCCATAAGCGTGATTTCCTTGTTGGAAATGAAATTGCTGCCAACATTACTGATGCCATACACAGAAGTCGTAAGACAGTTTGCATAATCACTAATCATTTTTTAAATTCATATTGGTGCATGTTTGAATTCAATATGGCGCGAATGGAGAGTATTTACTCTCGAGACGGAGAGAACACTGTATATTTAATTTTCCTTGAACAAATTCCCGCCAAGTCTCTACCTCTGGTTTTATTAGAACTCGTACAATCACAGTCGTACGTAGAGTTTCCGAATGATGAATATGGCGAAACTCTGTTCTGGGAGAATTTGAAGAAAGTATTGTCTGATTAACTACTAAATGGAATTTTTGATGAGGAAGAAGCACCAAAACTAATGATAAAAAATGTTCTATTCAGAGTTATACTCTCCTTGATTGCTATGTAAAGATTTCATGTCAAATGCATGGTAAATCATTAATTTAGTAAATATAAAATTAGATTTTCTTGAAGATTTAAGCACATGAAATCACCCCCGTTTTTTGATGGGGTCCGTACGCGCGTGTTGCTCAGTCTTTAGTTTTTTATGTTGTGTTTTGTAGACTGTTGTTTGTATTTTCGTCGTTTTTCGTTTTAGATAATTTTTTGGTAGAATGATAGAAAGTTATGGAGTTAGCTCCCTTAATTGTTAATTTCTAGTGCATGTCAACCAAATTCTATCTTGAATTACCAGAACAGGAAAAGTAAACGAATGTTATATTTGTGCACCATTATACATTCTGAAGAGAGATTAATGTCAACTTGAGTGGCTTTTTGTTTGTCATGTTTTCGCCGCTGCCTGATTCTTAGGCAGATTGGCACTTAATACCTTGCCTTGTGTAGGTTGCTTGCTATCCCATTAACGTCCTCAAACATTTGTTAATCATATTTTGTTAGAAATTAGCGAAGGAGGACAGTAAGGACAAATATTAAATTGGTTTACAAAATTGAAAAGTTCGTCATGGTATTGTCAGATTGTTTTCGACTTATGCGTTTGACTATCTCTTTTGTATCGGCCGCCTCTCCTTTAAAGCCTTCTGTAACATTTGTGAAGATGCAATGTGTATCATTAAAAAATAACATTGTTTTAAAGCAGGAAGTTATTTTGTTCTCTTTTATTGTCATAACAACAAAGATAAACAATAGACACCATATGTTATATAAATTAAAAATATGTATTCTCTATCCAAGCAGCCTTTGTCTTGCAATCAAATCCTGCAATGTATCAAACTATTTTATCTGTGTATATCTAATATGTTGTATATCTTCTGCCTATATATTATATTAAATAAAATGTGCATAACTTACTATTATGTTCATGTGCAAATTAAAAAGAAATTCATTATAAAAAAAGTAAGTTACATCATTTTCTGTCAGATTTACAGCTGAAATTAGATATGGTTTGCAAATGTATGACGTCATTATTCACTATCATGCAAAATAAGGAAAATTTAATTTCCAAATTTTAATCAGGTCAACTGTTTAAACTTTCCTTATAGATTCGTGTCTTTTGTTAATGAAGTCGACTTTCTGTGTTTTCACCTTGAAGGTTGAACAAATGTAATTACTACCTTAAACGGTAACACATGTTGGGGAAATATTGTATCTTAAGAGATCATTACCTTACTTAGGCACAAATATTTGGGAATCAGAAAAGCCTAGAGTTGAAATAACCAAAAAGTACAGACTGAACATCTATGTAGAGCGAACCAAAGTAAGCAATTAGAACTATGTATTACAGAGACAATGCATAATTTTCAAACGTATTCCTTGTTGGTTTTTATTGCAAATTATTTTTTAAACAATACGAACACTAAAATTGCTTCCACGCAGGTGATATACCCTATGGATCTTACAGTCCATAAAAAGAAGTATCAATCAAATATCAATAAACTACACACAAAAAAAGTATTGCTATTTTTGTGGCACATTTAAAGGATCATTCCATATTAACATTATTTATATTAGATAAAAATGCAAAGATGAAAAGGTATCTTTTCAGCTGCTCATAGCTTCAGTTTGAAAAGATTGTTGTTGTTTTTGTTTGGATTATACATGAATGTTGTTGTAATTCACATGACATGTTTACACTTATTTACATAACTCATTCATGAATATGCATCATGTATAAGTAAATTGCCGAAATAGGTCAGTATTTATAACACATTCCAAATTTGAATTGTCTCCCGTTAGGCAGATCATTATTTCGTCCTTTTGACATAATTTTTATTACATTTGTGTAGGTCGAATATTGAACAAACAATGTTTGTCTTTTAGCTTCAGATTGTTTTGTGTTTTTATGTGTTAGTGTTTTACCTTACTTATTTAGTGTGTGCACCTTTTGCTCCATTTCTTTATTCCTTACAGTGGCGGATCAAGGGGGACGGGGGGTGGGGGTGTTTCGGGGGTTGGACCCCCTTTTTTGACGATCAATGCTTTTAAATGGGGACATATGGCTGGAACAACCCCACCCCCCCCACCCCCCCCTTTTATCCTTGGTTAACCCCCCCCCCCCCCCCCTTTTTAAAAATGGCTGGATCCGCCCCTGCCTTACCATCAAAATCTTAAGTTAAACACACAAACTCAAATATAAAACATTTTTCAAATGTAAATATAGTGATTACGTACGTGTACATGAATGTTGGATAAATGAAAGATACTTAAGTCGCTTCTCCGGACAGAGTCCTAAAAACATTCCGATGATTACTCGCTCGTTCACTCTAACACTGATGCATACATGTATAAAAGCCAATAAACAGATTCAAAGTTAGTAAAATATAATAATCAACTGAAAAATATATGTGTGTGTAGAATGTTTGGATAAAATCGAAAAGACAAGTTTAAAGTCGATTATAGTAATCCATAAGTAAATAATTGTCTTGACCTCTAGATGACTTTTTTGTGTCGTTAGATTGCTGTCTCATTGACGTTTATCATAATATCTACTTTTATTGATATTTAATTGAGAGAATTTTTTAACGGAAATTCTCCTATAGATATACAGTTGTTCTTTTTTAGTTTTTGTTTTGTTTATATCAGTTGTTGGGTTCGTCATTTGGAATGTGCCTTTTTATTGTTATTTAATATTTTATGCTGTTGTGTGATAGAAAACCCCAAAATTAAATCGTACTTAGTTAATAATTCGGCATGTGACTAATTAAGCTGGATTTTATTACTTTATGTGTTAAGTAATGCGTATCATCATAATTGTGTTTTTTATTTTTATTTTATATCGATATGATACCTTATTCTTTCTTGAATCGTTCTGGACATGCATGAAATATTTGCCACTGGACTTAAAGCAACCAACAATCAATCAATCTTTCTTGAAGGTTCTTTCTTGAAGAAAACAAATTTCAAATCTAATAATAAAAGTGGCAATTTTAAAATACTTCATATTTCTTGTTTCTTTTAATGGTGAATTCAATATCCGGTATGATACCACTCAGTGTGAAATTAAGAAACGAAAATCTAACTTAAAAGTAACTTTATTAACGATGATCAAACTTTAAACAACATTTGAACTTCTTCTTAGAATCATTTTTGTATTCCAATAAAGTATTTATAAATTGGAAGCAGTAAATACAAGAATTAAGTATTTTAGGTGTTTAAAAGGGGCATTAGCTGCCACTTTCATTACCAATGAATTTACACAAACTCTTTAAATTGATTTATAAAATACTAAAATATTTACCAGAAATAAAAAAAGTTTTATTGGTAACAATAATCAAGGCATACAATCGTAATACAGTGTCAGCATTTCCTTCGTATTTTAGGACTAGAAATCATTATCAACAATCGAGATGACATCCGAAGACTGCCGATGGTCAATTAACCGCCGATATAAACATAAATATAAGTATAGATAGACAAGCAAGCACGTGCAATAGTATGATAAAGATTTTTCTAAAACTGTTTGATTTCATATCATATTAGATTAAAACAATATGTAAATCATCGTTTCACCAGTACTTCCTAGCGTTACCCATGTTTTAATGTTTTCAAATTTTTCATTCTTTCCATTGTAGATGCACATGTTGAACACCAATCTCTGACTAAGGTCAAATTAAACGGACCGAAATGAGGTCGAATCATTGTCTTGCAAGAATATAAAATAATTTATCCGTGATGTTTTTGAGCATATTTTCTACGAAATTGAAACAAAATGGCTGCTAAAGCGAATTATTATTTCAATATTCGGCTTTTATTCATGTTGGAAAAACAACAATCACATGTTAATTCTTTTTTCGAAGCTGATGACCCGTTGAAATGACAAAATAACAGTACGGATCTCCGATTTGACATTACATAAATACTGTTAAACTAATTAAAATACGTAATTTATTTTTAAACATAATGATCTACATTTGTATATTAAAAAAGTGATAACATATCGAGCATGTACACAGGGAAAAAGCCTATTCACCCAATCTATAACACAAGAGTGAAATATCTGGAAGTTCAGCTTTAGTAGTCGCCAGATATGGAAGATTTATGCCTTTGTAACAAGCAAGCTAAAACGATTCGGGTAAAATGTCAAGAAAAGGTCTTAGATACATGATTTTTTATTAGATGTTATTGGCTTTGAACTAGCCGTCAGTAACTGCGAGTACTCTCAGATCTGTACTTTGTGTCTTTTTTGTTGTGAAGGATGTATAAATACACTGCCACGTCCGGTTTGTGTTTTTTGTTAGATGTTTTTTCTGCTTTGTATCGATATGATGAGTTAAGCCCTTTTCAACTGATTTGTATAGTTTGTTCTTATGTTGTACTGTAACATCACTGTCCCAGGTTAGGGAGAGGGTTGAGCGCTCACAAACATGTTTAACCCCGTCACATTCTTTATGTGCCTGTCCCAAGGCAGGAGCCTGTAGTTCAGTGGTTGTCATTGGTTCATGTCTGTCATATTTTGTTATGAATTAGGTCGTTAGTTTTCTCAATTGAATTGTTTCATATTTTTCATGTCGGACCTTTAATAGCTGACTACACGGTATGGGGTTTTCTCATTGTTGAAGGTCGTACGGTTGCCTATAATTGCTTACATCGACTTCATTTGAACTTTGGTGGAAAGTTGTCTCATTGGCATTCATACCACATCTGCTTATTTTTATATTGTAATGGTATCATCCAATCTTATTTGTTAATTTTTCTGTCAATTTGTACAAAATGTACCTTCTCCTTTATCCACAGCTTGTCTCGATTCGAGACAATTTAGAGCATGAAATACGGTACTTGCTCATTTCTACATAAATTGTGATTGTCTTACAAATATTAACCCAGATTGGTTACCCATTGAAACGAAACATTTAAAAAAAACTTAAAATTAAATTTTAAAAAGATTGAACATACATGATCGAAAATTATTATATACATATATGTACTCCTACGATTTGTAATTCAACTGGAAATTTTAAATCAAAGGATGATTATGAGAATTTTATCAAATTTCATTTCACGAGAAACAGGTATATTTATAGGTAAAATATGTAAAAGCTGTAAGCATTTTGAATGTATTGGTGGATCATATTGTGGGCAACCGGAACTCAATATGGCATATAAAGAACTGAAACACGTAAAGAACACAAGCATCTAACATATCTTGATTTTGTTTATTCAAATACAGGTAAGAAATACGTTTTCTTTTTAAATGACGTTATAACAACTTTAAATTTATATTCTCAATATTTGAGATTTAAATGATAAATCTGTAACATTGCAAACACATTTCTAGTGAAAATGCACCATTTAATTTATATCATGTTTACATAGTATACATGTACAATCTCATTAGTCTGTTTAGGAAAAGTTTATCATCTAATAATAATAATAATAATAATAATAATAATAATAATAATAAAAAAGATAAATAATAATAATAATAATAAATATGTAAAATGTGAGAAACAACAACTCTGTACAATAGCAACATTGTCATCAGGAATTTATTTTTGTTTTAGAAAAATTCACTATGGTTGTGAAAGTCATTGTTGCAAATGATTACAATGAAGATATTTATGTAATGGTCCAGGGAGATAGAAAATTCACGTCAAATCTTGGTGTCCAAGGAGGGGTTGGAATTCTTGGAAATGGAATCAATTTCGGATTGAACAAAGAAGTTATCTGGGAGACAGCAAAAACAATGGGGTACACCAAAATCAAGTCTAAATGTTATACGCCATTTTACCCTGTTGCTGATAGCGACGCCGTGTATGTGACTATATTTTGCGAAGGAATGGATAGAGAATTATGTCGTTTCCATCCAATGGAGAAAAAATGCAACGTGATATTCAGTACAGAAGGTTATCTTTGTTTCTCGCATGAAAAAGACATATGGCAATACGACGATAACCAAAAACCTGGAGAAGAACAAAGCAATGATGCACTCAAAGAAGAAAATGTGAAACTAAAAATAGAAATTGAAACGTATCAAAATAAAGAAAGAAACTCTAACGATAATGCTAGAGTAAATATGTTAAGTTCTATGGATGACAGCAAACGTCTGCCGCTGCCGCCATCTGACAGAAAGAGACCCGCAGAAGACAACCTTCCAGAAATCAATCGAAAAATTCAAAAATGTGACGAGTAAAAGAAATTTGTAACAAACTGTACTATGTTGTAATTTTTTTTGTCGTTGGGTGCTGTCTCATTGACAAGTACCGCATATCTCCTGTTATACGTATTTATTCTTATTTATTAAAATATTTTTGTATTTTATTTTTTCTTATTGAAATTTCCTTTGCAGTGTGAGACATGTTTTTAGAACTAAGTCGATTTTTTTCTGCAAAGAAATTCTATTTATTGCGAAAAGAACCTAATTTCTTCAGTTTGCATTTTCTATAAATAGCAGTACAAAAACTAACATTGTTAAGCGACTCTTCTTTATATTTGAAAATCCTTAAAAGGTGAGGAGAATCCAAAAAATCAGAACTCGCCAGTTACAAAGAAAGAAAGAAAAAAAACACAATACAATACAAAGCAGATACTTATATACATGTACATGAGGGCAGTTCAAGTTGAAGTCTAAGTCCTATATAATATTGTGACTCAGCCTTCTTATAATTGTTGTATTGTTTTTACAAAGCCCAGCTTTTATTTTTACATTTTGTTAAGAAAGTGGCCGGGTATATACTAGTATATGATGTTACGAATTATGTCTATGGGATGTTCCGTTACGCTTTTCTTTTATCTCGTTGCTCATTGAAAAGTTTAATCTCAAACCACATTAGTGGATTAATGTAGGAAATTATTGGACATGGTTATATATGAGAAATCGTTGGTGGTCGATTGGAAACTGCTTGCGTTTCTAATAAAGATTTCCTTGACAGAGGTGTTTCATACAAGAAAGCTATTGAACTAAAAGTTAATTTGAAGCCAGTTCGAAGGTTTTACGAAAGCCATTATGACTTGAATGACCGTTATGGAATATCTGTATCACTGATGACCACGGACATACTCAAATTGCCGTAGCCACATTTCCATCATCGTTTCCTCGATAGTGACAACACCAAATGCGACTTATCACAAAATATTTACTTGCCATGACGGGTATAACGAGTGGAACAGGAAATACTGGCCCTTTCTGAGCACTTTAGTTCAAAATAAAAACAAGAAATAGAAAATTAAATAGAGGCTCGGAGGAGCCTACAGTTGCAAACCTGGCATTTTTTCCTCATAAAATTGATGCAATACTTGGGTTGAGTTGAATCTGTACGGGCTAAAAAAAAAACTATTGCTGATCATTTTACTGGGCATACTTTTTTGTCTATGATCCATGATTTTTTTTCTCATAAAAATGTTAAAATTTTGATTTATCCGGGCAGGAGTTGATTGACGATTTCAATCATTTGACTTATTTACAGCCCATGTGTTTTGCTGATTATTTTTCTATTCACATTTTCAGACTATCTACTTTTGTTTTTAAGATATTAGGAAAAACACTGAAATTGGTAAAAAATCATAGTTTAAGGGCAACAACTCCCATAAAGACTCGACTGACGTTTTCGATCATTTGACGTAAGTGTAGATCTTATCTATGCTGATCATTTTTGCTGTTTACAGTTACTATATCTTCTACAAGGGTTCCTGCCAAATACGCAAAAAGAGTTATAACTACTATCAGGATATAACTAACGATTTTGGACATGTTGACTTGCTTCAATATTTCTTTTATTACACATTACACAAGATCTATATTACATGCTGTATAAAATCTTCTATGAATTACAACGGATATTAAGAGTAGTACGGCTTAATTTCTTAAAAGCAGGTTCAGTACTTTGCGAGCATTCTTAAATACGGTGTAATTGTTTATTTGTTGTGTTTTTATTATATATTATACTTTTCTTTTAGAGTGAAGCGTTTTTCCTGTACTGGGTTGAGATCTAAATAAAAAAGCTATATGTCAACCCAACCACATGTACATCTTCACGCGTCAGTTCCAAGTCGGGAACATCGTCATTACTTGTCGTATGTCATATCTAAGATATTACGTTTTTTCGCTAAATGGAAATAAATAAAAAGCTCGGTCCAATTTTTGTACATACAAGTCCGAAGAACAAGTATTTAATTTGGAGTGGACCCTAGATGTCTTTTTGATTATTTTTGACGTTGAGCTGCTATTGAATTACACCCACATTAGTATCATTCTTCTTTTATTCATATTCACTCTTTTTTAAGAACATTACACACATGAGATTATTTTGACAGTTATTTATAAACATGTATTATGATGTGATGAAATTATGCCATCGTCGAAGGTTATATATCAGTAAGACAGAGTTATGAACAATGTCGTTGTGGTTTCTGGAAAGGAACATCTGGTTTAGGAACAATAGAGAAGTGGCGATGAATCTACAATACGAAATAGTTATAAATATTTATGAAATATCGCTGTAAAGTTATACACCAAAGATTGCATGATATACAAGGTGGTAAAATTGTGCATGTACGAATGTTTATAAAATATATTTTGTTTCGAGTGCCAATGATAAAAAAAATGAGAACATGGTGCTTCAAATCAACTTTGGGGTATAGGTAGCGGTTATCAACTAAGTACTACTAATGTCAACATAGTTTTGAACATGCTATAAAGTATGGCTTGATCAACTAAAAAACAACTACAGTACTGTACGGCCTTCAATAATGAGCGAAACCTTACAGTAAACTATAAATGCCCAAAGATAAATGTTATTCATAAAATGAAAGTAACCATCTGATATAGAATGTATATTGCCAAAATATTCACGACTTAAACAAGATAAAGTGATACTGAATCTACACGCTGAACTACATTTTAACGTGCTAGCTCAAGGTGATAGTCCGCTGAAAATGATGTCACCATATAGTACCCGGATACATCAAATAGACTAAAAGTAGACCATTCTTTTTTCCATTAATGATTGAAATGCGACATGCTCGCCGGAGATACAGTAAAAATATATATAAAATCTTTGGTATACCCAGGCAGAGCGATTGCAGCCAGTGCGTTACCATGAATCTTCCGTGGCAATTCTTTGAACTGCTTTGAATTGTAACTCATATTAGGCAAATACATTCGATCATGGTGAAGTGAATCAGACTATTATTATACATATTTTATTCCTCACGTTTTGTGTCAGACTGTTTGTGACAGACTGTTTTTTTTAATGACAACTTACCTTGAGCATTTCGGGTCCATTACAAATAAGCCTATATGTTGAGTTATTCACCAAGTCTTGAAACATGTGCTGAACATTATCATCTCTCCAATTCCAACCGTTAAATTGTGCCACTGCCTTGGATGGATCTTTGGATATTTGGTCATACACTGGTAAACCCAAACACAAAGACATTGATGTCCGTGGATAGTAGTATAAAAAGGAAACACACATCTCTTCTTGTGTTGATAGACCTCCCTACAATAAAAAATATTTATAATATGATTATAATAAAATATAATGATGGAAGACACATTTCATTCACGTTCTAAATCATCCTCGAAATGAAAACTGTTCTTTGTGTATGATCCCAAATATGATTTAAAATTTCATACAGAAAATTTAAAACAACACTTTATAAATCTCCGAAGCGATGCGTCAACTTTGCCTGAGGGAGTTGAAACCTTAGTTTCTTACTAATTTCTAAATTTTAAATGGAGAAAGAGGACAGAAAAAAAAGATAAAGTGATATAGAACTTACTATTGTTGGTTTGTTTCTTCTCGATGAGTCGTAAGTACATTCAACAATAAAGCTGTCACCCTGATAAAAAAAAGGTACATTTTTAATTTACGATAATGTTCTTACGAAATGTAAAGGAACGACCAGAGAAATGATAAATTCAACGACTTTGGTATGAATAAGCAGTATGGGTAATGGTTGAACTCTTTTGTCTATTTTTCAGCTATACCATTACTATGGTGAATCTAGAGTTTTTTTTTCTGAATTGTTAGAGTCCTGTCTCGTTGTTGTATAGTTTATATCTCCCTTTAATTGTTAAATAAAATGTATACATCTCGAGAAGTAATACACACACCACTTTCTATATATATCGAGCATTTAGCTATATAGATTACTTGTAAAAAATTGTTTGATGTAAAGATCTTAAATGTGATAAATCCTAAAGTTTTCTTAAATACATTTTTTTTACGTCTTTTATGGGTTTTTTTTTGTTGTGCGTACTGTTCTTAAATATATTTCCTCCTTCTTAGTTGAGCGAATTTCTACGCTAATGCTAAAAGTCTGTTTTAAATTACGTCACAGTTAATTTTGGACCCTCTTCGCAGGCTGCGTTTAATCCATGTAGAAAATTGTGAAGTAAATTCATGAAAATTTCGAGTTAAGTTTCTTTGATCGGAAAGAAACTAGTAAAACCGTCGTAATAGCGGGATAAACCAATTTATCGTGATTGTGTAGGTTTGTCAAGTAACCTAAAATGCTTAATTAGGAACTATGTTGTCTCCCGTAATTAATGGATTTCAAAGATAAACCGAAAAACTTTATACACATAAATTACATGTATGGGAATCTTTCAAAATGAGATCAATTACACTAATAGAAAATTTGTTTTGAACGGTTGTTCGCTACAGAAATTTAACGTGTACTAACTATTTTGAAAAACTAAGGTCATTTCCCTTACAAATGCATTAAAAAATATCGTTGTATTATTTTGTAAAAGATACAACTCAAATATGCATCTTTCTGTACGTATATCTATGTAAACTTTACAGACACGTCTTTACATACACAATGACTTCTTCAAAAGCTTTATTGATTTATAAAAAAAAACAGAAAAAAACAAAAAAAAACAAAAATCAAGCAAACAGGTCTGTCACTCATTTTCCAAATTTGGTATATTGTTTCAAAAAGCAAAAAAAAAAGTTCAACATACTCGTTTGACCTCCCGTTCTTCCTTTAAAACCCGGATATCTTGGTAGTTAAAATCATAGTGATCATCCTCAGCTATGGGAGACAGTTCAGTTCCGTTTCTTACATGCCTCGTTTTAATTCCAGCACCCAATAAATGAGCGTGTTGCAAGAGGCCAAAAATCTTAATTCCAGTTTCTGGTAAACCCTGAAATACATAATTTAATAAAACATAATTCTTTATGTGCCTGTAGTTCAGTGGTTGTCGTTGGTTCATGTCTGTCATATTTGTTTTTTGTTAATTGTTTTGTTATAAATTAGGCCGTTAGTTTTCTCAATTGAATTATTTCATATTTTTCATGTCGGGGCCTTTTATAGCCGACTATACGGTATGGGTTTTTCTCATTGTTGAAGGCAATACGGTTGCCTATAATTGCTTACATCTACTTCATTTTACCTTTGGTGGATAGTTGTCTCATTAGCAATCATACCACATCTTCTTATTTTTATATAAAAAGGATTCAAGGTTCAATAATATCGGACAGTACGTTTTCAATACACTAACATACTATCATTGTTCGCTTTTCGTGTTTTGTGTATCTGCTCAAGGTAACGGAATGGTGTTTCATGGGTATATACTGTAAAAACTGCTTATTTTTTCAAGGCAAGATGTTCAAGCCAGTCTCCAGTTTTTTTTTTTGTTAATTTTGTTTTATTCTGCTCAAAGTTTTGTTGTAACTAGATCTACTTTTAATAGTTTAAAGTATGTAGCATGATTCAAAGTCGATAATTGATTTTTGTTTTATTAGCATCCAGTGCAATTCTGTTATACCGCAAAGTAGTTTCTAGACTTGGCACCGACCGACACCCTCTAAAAACAAAAACACACTTCAAGGGTCTGTTGCAACAACAGAAAAATAAGAAGGTACCATGAGGTGATTAAATGAACATCAATCGAGGAAAGACGGACAATACCATGACAAGAAACATACTAACAAACACCGAGTTTTTACTTACTCGAGCAACAAGGCGAGTGCCACATGTGGAACAGGATCTGTTTATCGTACCGGAGCATCTGAGAACATCTGACACCCCCCCGGTTTTTGGTGGGGTTCGTGTTGCTCAGTTTATAGTTTTCTATGTTGTGTTTTGTATACTGTTGTTAGCCTTTTCGTCGTTTTTCGCCATGACATTGTCGGTTTGTTTTCGACTTATGAGTTTGAATATCCCTTTGGTATCTTTCGCCTCTCTTTAGCAACAGTCACAAAATTCTGTACAGTTGCCATCCATTTGTCCATTGAAACTATCCATGGGACTGATTTTGTTTTTAGATTTAAAAGTATCTCTTTCTAGAAAAAAAAACAACATTTGAAAACGTACCTTCTCAGTACACTCTGGACTACAATATCCCGTTGACAAAAAAGCTTTCTGGTATGGTGGTATAAAATGATTTGGATCAACATTGACTCCAACACTCATCCCGGCTGCATCAAACTGGCGAGTGTCAGGGGTAAGAATTAATCTGATGCCTGAGCTGTCGACAATATCTAAAATTTAATCCCAATTAATAAAATTTTGTAACAAATGCAAACATATCACTAAGGCCAGGTTAGTAATATTTAGTCAAATAACGAATGTAGGTACTTAATTTTTGTAAGCATTTCCATGTTGATTTTGCTCGTCGTATGAATTGATATGCATTTTAAATTTTCTGTTTGAATTCGTTTTTGTTATTTCAATGACAGATTTGATCAAAGCAGGAACTTACTAGTTTACAATGTTAAAATGGTTTACCGTATTTGTATTGGGGGATTTCGAGAGCTTGTACATACTTGTACATACTAGTAATGTCACTACTCTTTATGTGTATTGTAGATTTGTCATCTACCAAATTCACCATTTACAAATTAAAAAAAAATGTTTCATATCTGTGAACATAAGTAGAATTCCATTCTCTTTGAATGAAAAATACATACATTTCTTTCATTGCTTACCAGTTTTGATGGTAGGATTGTTATAATGCATTTCTATTCTCAAATATTTTGGACTGTTTGCCTCTCCAAAAGCAAATCCAACGTGCTCTGGCATATTAAAAGCCTGGTAATAGAAGAAAAAACTATTAAAGAAGTAAAGAAATACTCCTGATACTAGGTTTTTGCAAGTTTACTTTGGTTAACATTTATTTTTTTAAACCTGGCCCTGACCGACACACAAAACAAACCTCTTTTTTGAAAGTGGAATGATAGAATATAGAAAAAAATAAGATCGCAACTTGCACTTGGTTGGCACTTTTCATGCGTTGTGCTTGAACTACAAGGATAAACTATATACAAAATAAATTTGATTGAGTATGTGTAAATCTAGTTTTCATGCCGTAACACGAATGATTACGATTGTACTAAAAATGTACCATTAGGAGAGGTCGATCAGAAGTTGTTTAGTTTAAGTTAATTCTTTAGTTATATATTCAGTAGGAGAACAAATGAAGCATAAATCATATGCAAGTGCTGCATAGTGAGTTAACCGGGATGAAAGGCCGGAAATATGGACTGCCATTTGAAAAAAGTATATTTGATTGCAATTGTATCTTACAAGAAGACAACTCGGAGAGTTATTATTATGGACCTTTAATGGTCAGCGAGCACTCTCTCAACATAGGACATCGGATTGAACATCCCATTCCGACAGGCTGAAGCTGCGTATTTATACATCACAAACAACCATTTGGATTACCGCTTAGTTAGGGTCTTACTGATAGAGGGTTGCTGCTTACAAGGAAGCTATCAAACCAAGAGTTTCAAGTGGTAAAGTTGAAATCATTCCTTTGAAACTTTTATGGACGCCATCACGGGTTTCGGAGCATCTGAGATCGACCCCGGTTTTTGGTGCGGTTCGTGTTGTTTAGTCTTCAGTTTTTTATGTTATGTTCTGTGTACTGTTGTTTGTTTTTTTGGTCCTTTTGTTTTTGTCATGACATTGTCGGTTTGTTTTCGACTTATGAGTTTGAATATCCCTTTGGTATCTTTCGCCTCTCTTTTACTGCTGGCCGGGAGGAGTCTAGATGGCCCCTTTCTATACCCAAGTCAACTTTGAGAGTCATTTAAGATAAGAACAGGTCAGCCAACCTAATGTACAAAACTGTAGTAAACTTACCACTCCGCCTACAGCCCAAGCCACAACTACTTCACTGCATGTTTGGAAACGTCTCGGTGTACCCCTTGAGTAACACTCAAAGGAAGTTCCAACATCTGCCTCGGTTACTTCAGGACATGTTGTAACAACAATATGGTGGACATAATCGATGTTTTCTTTCTGTATTACTGGTTCATACTAAAATAATACAATTATTTAAATATTTTCCAACAATTTAGTCAAAAAGAATAGGTATTGATTTACACAACTATTGAACTTAAGTTAGTTTCATTGAACACAATATGTTTATTTAACTATTTTAAGGAAGACGTTCTCCTATCAAGGCTTATGTTGTTTCAATGCAGACTGACGACTGGGTCACGGGGAAGGGGACGAGGAACATAAGTGTTAAGCCACAGAAAAGTTGTTTTTCTTCATATGCCTAACGTTAAAGAAGTTCATTACAATGTCTGTCGTATATATACTTGCAAGATACTGTTTTGAATGCATATTTATCATCATATTTTCTAAAGATATAAAAGTACTAACTCATGGTCATTATAATTATGATATGATATTACATAATGGTGTTTTATCTCACAGATGACTCCGTTCGTATATATCAATTTTTGCAATGTACTTAAACTATGTTCTAAACTTCACGGATAACTCCGTTGTTATATATTATTATTTTCGCAGCCTGTTTTTTAAGCACTTTAATATGCTCTGGACTTCATAAGTACGACGTACTGATTAGGCCAATACATTTCTGCATCAGTGATGAAAAATAAGTTAAATATAAAATAAAAGTAAACCCACTTTGTTACCTGTTATTATACCCCACGCAATTTTTGCGTCGGGTATAATGTTTTTGACCCGTCCGTCTGTCCGTCCGTCCGTCCGTCAGTCCGCCAGTCCTGTTCTTGTCATCGCAACTCCACTGAAACCACACAACAGAATTTCATGAAACTTTATAGATAATAAGGACATACTATGTAGTTGGCATATCGACAGGAAATTATGATTCATTTTTTTTCTATGAGTTATGCCCCTTTGCACTTATTGACCTCAATATACTACTGCAACAGTTTGTCATCGCAACTCCTCTGAAACTACACAACAGAATTTCATGCAACTTTGTAGATAATAAGGACATACTATGTAGATGTGTATATCGACATGAAATTATGATTCAATTTTTTTTCTAGGAGTTATGGCCTTTGAACTTATTGGCCTCAATATACTACAGTCCGTCAGTCCTGTTCTTTTCATCGAAACTCATCTGAAACCACACAACAGAATTTCATGAAACTTTGTAGATAATAAGGACATACAATGTAGACGTGCATATCGACAGGAAATTGTGATTCAATTTTTTTTCTAGGAGTTATGCCCTTTTGAACTTAGAATTTTTGCATAAGTATACTAATGCAAAAGTTTGTCATCGCAACTCCTCTGAAACCACACAACAGAATTTCCTGAAACTTTGTAGATAATAAGGACATGATATCTAGATGTGCATATTCCCAAAAAAATTATTATCAGTTGACTTTTCTAGGAGTAATGCCCCTTTGAACTTAAAATTTCAGCTTAAATATACTACTACAACAGTTTTCATCGCAACTCCTCTGAAACCACACAACATAATAACCTGAATCGTTGTAGATAATAAGGACATACTATCCTTTTTTATTTGATTCACTTATAGATTAGAATATGAAATAAAGACATTACTCACTCTGATCATATGATGTTTCTTCGATAGGGTTGGTATTTTGTGTATAGTACATTGGTAACGTGTATCAACCGAAGGTACTGAAAACTGAAGAAAAGACATATTCAATAAAATGATAAAAATAACAAACAAACAGAGAAGTAACTTCAATTAAAAATAAGTCATACATATAAGGTAAATATCGTACTTGTCAGTAGAAATGAATCATGAGTAATGTGAAGTGATTCACGACATAGTCTTTGATTAGTTAATGCGACCATTGGGTTGTTGAAAAAGCTGGTAGACGGTTTGTTTCTATGTGGTTATACATGTTCATAACATGTTAAAAACACTAAGATTTTTTCTTTAGCCTCCCCCTCTCCCCCGCACACACATTAGAAGATAGTCTTACATGAATTTGACACAACGTTTAAGAACTTATAATTTTATTGTTCTTCTAGTATACATTTGTAATTGTCGATGGAACATGTGTTTTATATTTTTTTTTAAATCTGGTATAAGGGAGATAATTTAAAACGTGAAACATGGTTTTTCGCCTATTGCAAAATCATCATATATGTTTCATTTACCTTTTACTATTATAGAAAGAATAAAATATTAAATCACATTATAATGGAGATAATGATAATGAAAATTCAAAGTGGAATAAAAAAAAAACATAAAACAGGTTGCTCATCATGAATATATAATAAATGAATTGAAAACTTTAATGATAGGATTTGTTTGAAATTATTTGAAAAAAGTCTGTTGTTGCCCGAAATGCGAAAGGAATAGTTGTTTAAAGGTATACTGTACATGTGTGAATATGCAGCTTGATTTTATATTCTTACCTCTTTGTTTACAACTCTTAACAGTACATGTATTTTTCACATTTTACAATGTTAAGTTTGGTATGACAGAAGGTTAAAGATATACAATGTATAGGTATTATGAGAGTTTACATTTTGATTTGAAAGATAAATGAAACGCAGTAGCGACTGGTCATACATGTACTAATGTTATTGAAAACTAAAACTCTTGTTGGAATAGCTGTTCCGTAAGAAACCGCCTTATGGTTTATTCATGATAAATAATTACGGCAAAAATTTTTTAAAAATTCAGTACTACCATATTTTTTCTATAGCTAGTAGTGAAACATTCCTCTCATTACATCTATTTTCAAAACCTTACAAATAAATATGAATAATATACATGTCCCTTCATTTAACGTATCAACCACGGCTCGATTTTTCTGCTTTAAACACATTGCTTATATAAACCTACATGAGGTGATACCAGATCTATGTGTACATTATTAGCTGGAATGTTAACATCAGATTTAGTAGATGACAACAACATCAAACTTTGCGCTCCACGACGTTTTACTCCATGCCATTGCATTCCTTGAATGGAATCCGGATCGTCAGGATGATAGGAATATATAGCTTTCACAGTGTCGTCCTGAAAACAAAAACGTAAAGTAATCGATGAAATATAATTCAATTAACTAATAATGTTTTAAAATGGCGTTCACAAAGGCTGATGATTTGAATTTTTTTGCTAATACCTAATTTGAAATACCATTTCTTTGTACTCTTTGTACAATGTAACCAAGATATATATATTAGCTGGAAGCCATTAGATGTAATATGTTGAGATATATCCCCAATTCGAAATATATGACAATCAAGAAGTCCAACGCAAAAAAAAACTGTTTACAACAAGTAATGTCAACTAGTGAAGCAATTACTACGAATTTCATTCTACAAACATGTTTTTACCATAGGCTCATATATATAAATAAATGATTACTTTAACTGCATCAAAGTAACAACACAAGAAATCTTTTTATCAATTTTGTTACAATTTGTTGAGCGTATTTAAATATTTTTTTACCACTTGTAAATATACATGAGGTCGGCCATATTTTTTTGTATTTAAAAGTACTACACACTGTAAGTATATCTTGAGGAACCGTTCAATCATATGCGTTTTCAATTGCTTCAGTGATTCTCAAGAATATTTTCTATATTTTCCTGAAACAAACGTAGAACTAAGCCTCCCGCCTGCCAATAGAGATTTTGATCAGCCGAACAGTCTAAGAGATTCACCACTCGGTACAATGCGAGAAGAACTAAACTAGGGGATTTTCCCAATATATTTTGTCTTAGTTGTTCGTGAGTTGTCGAATAAAATATTTTAGACATATAGATATGTGCATAGACTCCAAGCAGCATCAGATTGGTTGACCGATTGTCATAAAAGTATCTTTACCCGATAACTACCCAACAACTACCCCTTGTAGCACAACGGAAGCTTTGTTCCCTTCAACATTCAATATTAGTCACGTACTTTCGATTTGAAACAGTTGTCACTTAAGGGAACGACCATTTAACTTTCTAAAAAAATATTCTGAACCCCAATTTGATGGGAAAAAAATTTGTGGTCAAGCAGATGACAAAAAAAAATCTGCATCCAGATTTTCCCCATACCTTATAATGTTAGATATTGAAAAAATAAGTTGATTGATAGCGTTGAAAAACTAAATAAAATTGATCGCACGAAAAAAAATTCTGACTCAGGCAAAAAGCATAACTCCCCTTGAAGTTAAATGGTTGCTCTCTAACTGCGTGTATATAAATGTGGGTGTACATTTATGCATATGACCCAGGTGACCCGCGTATATTGACAAGATTTGTCTCTTCATCCGTTCAGTCGTATACAAACGTAGCACATGCTAACATAATAAGCTCAAATGATTACACGTTTTTTGTGATAAATATCGCGCAAGATCGAAATATCTTAGCGAAAGTAGGTTGTGGAAAATGGAGGGTTGAGGGGATACACCTTGCATATATCGACAACAGGTATAACGTGTATATACCTACCAATGCAGTGTATCTATACAAAATCTAATATTAAATACGTGTATCATTTTAAGACTTACTGAAGATTATTGACCAACACTTACAGTTATCATTGTGTCGTTGTCATCACATGTATCCAACTTTCTGGAAAATGTTAGGACAGTGCCAAAGTCGTTCTCAAAGCCATTAATCAAGTGCCAATCCTGACTGGTATCAACTTCGGGAGTAAAATGTCCCGTAGTGTGGCAGTCCTTAAAATAAAATATAATTGTAATTATGTAATTTACACTATGTATATTTCTTGGATAGATTGTAAGTCAAAAACAATAGAAAACGGACTTTTTCATTTAGTTAGAGTTACTGAACAATCATTTCGGTTATGCTGATTTAACCTGCACGGCGAGTGTGACCTCCTTGGCCGGAACGACGTAGGAGTTCGGGTCAAAAGGTCACACGAGCTGCGCAGGTTGAATCAACATACACCGATATAATTGGTCAATAACTGTTTTAACACATGACATAATCATCAGTACTTCCCGCGAAAAAAAATCTGTTGCGCGGATTTGATCGACATGGACGCACGTAATAATATTGTAACAGAATTTCAACTGGACAATACGGACGACATTTCTCTTTCACCGGTCGTTGACCTAATAGACACTGACATACCGATCAGCAACGTCAACCTTGATGATTTCTTCCAAGAATTTGACCAAATAAATGAGTCTTTTGCACATGGAGATGTGTTTGCGATTCTAATATGATCTTGGTTTCTGGCTCACTGTGCATACAGAAGACGAACTCGAGCATACAGAACCACTGAAACAGGATCAAAAGTTTGCCATTTTCAATGAAAAGGTAAGATAAGAAAAATGGCAATATACTACCCCCTCCCCTCCAAGAAAAAAAAATTCCCTCTCTTTTTTTCCACACACACACACACACACAAAAGGGCTTAAATTAAATCAGATTATTTTGTCAAATAAAAGGATTATAAACTCTTGAACCTTTTTCCACGTTTGTTTTCGTTTTTTCCCGTTCCCTTTAGAATAACTGCGGGTCCTTGATAATTAAATAGGTCAATTAAAAAAATTTTGCCCGATTTTGATAGCAAATTTCTTTGTGTTTTTCAGAACGAGAACAACAATGTCAGTAGCCGATTTGTGGACGTAAACGACAGGGAAATCGACAAGTTAATTAGAGGCGTGGAAAGCAAAAACACGACAAAATCAACAAAATGGGCGATTTCTACTTTTGAGGAATGGCGGATCAATAAAACTACCAAATCTTTTGACCATGTTATTCCGGAAATTGCAATATTTTGAAGTTGACGATATTAACAACAATTAAGGAAGATTTGTGATTGGGGTAAGGAAAAAAAACGGAGAAAAATATCCCCCCAAAACTTTATATTTGTTATTTTGTTATTTATTGAGATACATGAGGTCTGTTGATGTGAACAATATGAACTTTCTGAATGATACTAATGATAGATTTTTAAGATTCAGAAAAATTCTTGATGCACAGATGAAAACCCTTACTGCTGAAGAAAGGAATGGAAGACTGCGTCACCGGTCAATTGCACCAAAAGCTATAAAGCATTATGTTGGCAATGCGGACAGAAATATTGCCAGTTATTACAGAAAGTATCTAGATGACACTGGCAAAAGTGGTCCTTTTTATCGAATACCAGTTGCTACAAGCAACGATGAACCAGTAAAATTTGGCCAGGTTCTTGGTGTAAATAAGCTTGGTAGCTTAATGAAAAGAATTTGTGAGAAAGGACGGTTATATCAAGCAGGAGTTGACGAACAAAATTATTGATTATGGACCGCACTGGTCACAGAAGTGAAAAGGCTGCTAGAATGTATAAACTTCCTTGTGATTCCATGCTTAAGGATGTTTCAAATGTATGAAATCCGTCTACAGTAAAGAAAACTAAAACCGCTTCGGCCACCGTTTCGTCGAATGATAAAGAAAATGTTGAAATGAAGGAAAATAACGAAATAACGCAAAAATCGAAGGAAAATGAGTATTGTGTTGCCTCGGATGTATCACCAGGAGGAAGAGTGCATGGTTCATTTCAAAACTGCGTGTTTAATATGTATATGAAGTAACAATTTCGTGTGATTGAACATTTTTTTATTATTTATATTTGTTGGAAAAAAAGGAAAATTCTGGTAATAATGTTTTTTTTTTATGATGAATAGTACGTTTAAAGTCCAATAATTAAAATTATTAAAACATGTTTTCTTGCAGCTTAGGTATTTTATTGATATAGTCGTCTCGATGTACTCCTTTTCGTATGCATCTCGATTTTCTTAGTAGAATTGAAATTGATCCTGCTGTGCGGTTAACTTGGAAGTTAATGCACACCTGCCCTGTGCATTATCCTAGTTAACCGAACAGCAAGAACAAGGAGATTTGAGCCATGTCATGTGTTAAGGTAAAATATTATTGTTTTGTTGACTTTTACTTTAATAAAGAATGTGCAACTTAATTTTACCCGTCTTCTGAATTCGCACTGACGACAGGATTTGATGAGGTCTCATAAAGCGAGAGTAATAATCCTTAGCAACTATAAAAATATAGCGACGGTACAAATTAATTATAACAAGACAACAAACTTGGCTATCTGTGATGAATTCATGGATATATGCAACGTTGTTGATCGACTTGAAGACACACAGCTAATAAAAAGTAAAATAACAAAAATATCGAACTCCAAGGAAAATTCAGAACGGAAAGTCCTTTATAAAATGGCAAAATCAAAAGATCAAACACATCGAAGGAATGGAAAACAACTGTCAAATTCCTAACTTGGTACAGGCATTAATATTTTTCCTTATGTAGAAAATGGTGCTTTTATAGCTAGCTAAACCTCACACTTGTATGACAGTCGCATATATTATTAATTCCATAATATTGACAACAATATGTGAGCAAAACAAACAGACATAATAGATAAAAATGTAGAAAATTGGTCAACATTATGTTATAATCTGTGTATAAAACATAACTGTTATAAACATACGATGATCCATAAACCCAAAATACAAATCGCTGTAATAATTTTACATAACACATACAAGTAAAAAGTGATATGTCCAGTCAGTAGACAGTAAAAAGTAAAAAAGTACGGTGGCCAATAGTTGTTAATTTCTGTGTCATTTGGTCTCTTGTGGAGATTTATCTCATTGGCATTCATACCACATCTTCTTATTCTTATAATTCAGATTTCAAGAACCAATTAAATGCACGGATTTTGAAGTTATATGGTAAATAGCAACCTTATTCTTTCATTTACTGGAAATCGTCTCTAAATATCTATACAAATGTTATTAAGAATTGTATTTTAAACACTTTAGTGCGGAAAGGGAACTTTTGTCCTAGATATGACGTCATAAATATGTTGAAATTGACATTTTTGAACTGTGATGGGCATAGTTTATGATCAAAATACATTTGAAGCGAGACTTAACCCAAACAGATATTTTACACACGTTTGTAATCTTTGTCAAATACAACCTGTAGTAAAATATCTTTATTTATAAAAGATTTTTACAAACATACTGAACTCAAAGGTAAATTCAATAGAGGGGAAGTCCATAAAACCTGTCAAAATCTCAAAACAATGCTAATTTACACAAACTGCAAGAAGGTTAAGGCCCTTATGCACATATGTAAGACAAAGTTCAAAAATATAAATATTCAGTCTGATGATTGATAGTTAAATGTCTTATGAACATCTGAGGCATGATTTGTAATGATTTTAGATTTAAGAAATCAGGATGTCAAAAAGTGGTCTTGTCAAACTTTCTATTTTCTGTTTTGACCCTGTGAGTTAACCAAAACACAAGGAAATGAGGAAAGGCCAATTTTCATTGAATTTATGTACTCACAGCGTCGGCACTGACAGTCGCTGAAGCCATGCATTTGAATGTTAAAGAATCTAATTGATAGACATTAAATATATTTTCAAATGTACGCATCAAAGCACAAAACCAGCACATATTAATTTGTATCCGATAGATAAACCTAGATTTCCTTCCCACCAAATCAAATTTTTGGATAATCCCTTTGCGATTACTCTTAATTTGCCAAAACCTTCCAAAATTGCTGTTTTGAATCATCTTTAAGTTTTTAATTGGTTCAGAAATTCGCAAAATGTGTTATAACCTTAAGATGTACGTACATTTGTATCAACAGTGAATTTAAATAGACATTAAAGAGATTGGAGGAATTTGAAAATTGGCCTGGCGCGAAAAAATATCAGAGGAAATCGTCTCTTCACTTTGTTCTACCTTTTTATATAATATACTTGCTTTTAAAACTGCTGTTCCGTCTTTTACCCATCCAACAACGACATCCGATGGAAACATTTTACCATTCGGCGAAAGCCCAAATCCAACATATCCCCTGGTTCTGACATGAGTTTCAAACGTAATATTGGTACCGCTGACATTCCAAAATAGCCAAAAGTTTCCGTCAGAGTCCAACTGAAATTCATGTTGGAATGCTGCTGTTGGAGCGGGTTTTGTATGTGAAGGCACTAAAGGCCTTTGTGTTGGATCTATTGGAGCAACAGTGCGCCCATTGCTATAGTGCAACCCAAGCACAAACGTCAAAAATATAGTCAACAAATGCATCTCTAGTTTTGAGATTAAATCACAATTTTTTTTTATTTATACATCGATGAGAATTTCACAACTCTCTTGATAACCTCATACCGTCAATCCCATGTGACAATTTGTAGTAAGTAAACAAACAATTTCTGCATATCACGAGTACTCTTAAACATATACCTTACTTGTTCACCTGCTTATGACTGTTATACGTTATAGTTATTAATTCATTACAATGCGGATCTGCAATATGTTATATAAATGTACATATATTGTTTTATTATATAATTAGAACAATTCCTTAATTAAACATCTTTATAACGATGCATGTTTTATTAAAAGATTAGTACAACATGATTCATATGTCCCATTAGCCTAATATAGGTTAAAAAGATAGGAACATAACACTGTTGCTACATCCACAAAATTAGATCATTGATATATAATAGAAATATAGAAGACATATTTACGTGTGAGATCATCTATCAGATAACACTTGACAAACTAACACCAAAAGGAGATATAATGGTAAACTGTATTTAAAAAATTTTAAAAAAAGAAAGAAAACGACACTACATGTATAAAGATTTCGTGTGGCCGAGGCGCTTTTCAGGATTTACCTTCATCAGGAACGCGCATTTGTTTTTGTCATGATGGTATATCAGAATATAACGAGTCAACTATGCCTAAAAATTAAAGTAGCAATATTTCAAAATCAACCGAGTTACGTTTAGGAAAAATAAGTAGAAATTAAAATATGAATTTCCTGCCAGAAAGTGGAATATTGCAGATAGCAGCCAGGAACTGGAAATGGTACATTAAGGAATAAATTGATAGCACCCTACATGTATTTTTTTTTATGGGGAGGGGTAATTTTTATTTTATAGTTTGTGCATTCAAATTTTATATTTTAAAGTGTAAGTACTATTATATCAACACGTGGCAATAACAGTAAGGTGGCTCACCCCCTTAAGATCCCCTGAGATATTTTTTTTATGTTCACATGTGTAGATCTTTTTTATGCTGAATCCAAGTAGGCAAAGAAAAAATGGGGTCATAATAATGTCTTAAATAATGCCCTGAAACTTTAATATTTTTCTGTTTATCAAATTTTTGGTCACCGAGCGGACCTGATAATAGTAAGTATTTTACCAGCAGGTTATACTAAAGAATGCAGTTGATATGAATAAAATTTCATAATTGTAAGGTTTTATAGTTCATATTCCTAAATAAAATACATCATATATTAACAAATTTAACAAACAGAATCAGTTGAAATAAAAATGTTTAATCTTTTAATTATATTATTCATGTGTATTTATTGTAAGAAATATTATAAACATCACTCTTAGTGTTGCATTGCAAATTTAAACAATAATGATTAGTTATGCAGTAAAACTAAAAATATATCGGTAAGTCTTTTCCAATTTTTTTCAAAATAATTTACATATTTTAGTTGATATTGTAGTTTTCCTTGGAGTTCGGTATTTTTGTTAATACTTTTTTCCTATCTTTTAATCATAAAAAAATAAGACTTGAGACTTTATATTAGATAACTTTTCGTTTTAGCACATATCTACACAAATTTCAAGATAGCAAAAGGACAATAATTAAAAGACAGAAACAGTAAAGATCAAAACTATATGGATTAGGCCATCACTAATAGTTCTAATGATGAAATTCTAGTGAATTTAGACAAAAAAAATTGGAATGTACAGTTGATGAAAAATCTGAATGGTCAACAGACGATGACAGAATAAAAGTCAGTTTGGCTTGATTTACAAAATAATACGGCAGAAAGTTGGATGGAATCCCTTATACAAAGACGGGAGTATAAGAATAAGAATAATATAAACATGGATAAAGCACACAGATTGACAATGGAAGACGTGCTCCTAACCGGAATATTATTACAAATAATCATCCCACAAACAATTATCATGTTAAAGACCAAATGGATCTAAGCGCACAACAATTTACTTTAAAAAGAAACAAGAATTTATATAAGTCAGTGAGATACCGTTATTCATATTGTTGGACGAAGTAATCCATATGGGTTTGTTACTTTGAAAATGTTCATACTTTATATCTTTTAAATCTGTAAAGAAGGAAAATTTATATAAAAACTATAATTATTAATACAGTAGGTGACAAAAACAAAAGGAATGATATGGAAAAAAAGGAAAGACCTTAAACAATCTATTATAACACATTTCATAATCATCAGTATGATGATTCAAATTTCCATGTTATCAAGGCTAAATAAAAACCAGTGGAAAGCAAAAGTCAGTGAAAAATCTAATTTTGCCATTCGACTATTCGTCTTGCTTCTCGCTGCAAAAACACCTTAATTTTTAAAAATGACACTCCGTAAATTTTATGGACACCATCACGAATTGGTTGCTCTATACGATGTGTCTGAGTCTAAACTAACTAATGACATTTTTACCACGTCTTAGATTGTGGTTTAACATCTATGTCGTCTGTCTGCTAAGTACCGAACGTGACCTATTCCCGAATATGACTGTTATACCGAGTGTGAATTTGCATTGCTACGTGTCTCGGTATTTTGTACATCCAACATTCATGTATCTATTTTTCTAGTTTTTGTTATTGTTTCGAATAATATTTTATTTCTTATCGTTTGTTGTCCAAATAATTATAAAATTGCCTTTCAATACCATCATTGTCATATTCCAGAATATGACTGTTGTACCGAGTGTGAATTTGCATTACTATACGACGTGTCTCGGTATTTTGTACATCCAACATTCATGTATTTATTTTTGATGGTTTTGGTTGGAAAATGTGTTATGTCTTATCGTTTGTAGTCCAAATAATTATAAAATTGTCTTTCAATACCATCATTGTCATGAAAATTGTTTGGACGAGTATTGTGAAAATAATTGTATAAAGTTCGAGATTGCATGTTAGTTACGTAAGCGCGTCATTGTTTGTGATATCCTGTGGTGTTTGTCGTTGATGGAATATGTTCGTTGTTGTTCTGCGGTTTGCATGTTGTGTCGAACATTATATTATTTGTTAGTGCGTTTCTCTGTGGTGAATGTTCTTTCGTGTGTTTTTGCTGTATTTCTGTCACGTAGTGTTGTCATTTTATCGATATTTTTTTTATCATTGTCATACAGCGGGAGGTTTGGCTGCCACATATATTACCAACAACTATGTGTAGTTTTGTCATTAATTATCGAATATGTCAATTCTGACAACACAGTATGTTTACAAATGATAATTTCTTGAAAGAATTATACCAGACGTCTATATAATTCTATTCATTCATCAATGAAATTAACAAATTATGGAAAATCACTATAAATAACTATTTTGCAGGGACCACATAAAAGATCTTTCCATTATCCCTCCCATTCAATTACTTATCTAAATAACATATTTATTTCTGGATTCCTAAACATATGACATGTTATGTAATGTCAGATATGTAGGACTGTGTTACCGACAATATGATATTTCGACGGAAACAAACACATACAATAATTTTGCTAACGCTTGCCTGAAAATGTTACGGACATTAACCTACAACTTTATAATTATGATGAAATTCAAAAAATTAAATTGAAGATTAGGCCATGTCTAAGTCCTGTTTACTTCCTGTGGATTTGACGTTGTAAATCATTTGCTTCGTCAGATTTCCCATCATACCTATAGGAGATAAAATCTAAAAGTCTTTTGAAAGAAACTCAACTTTAAATGAATGTTTATACTAATAGTATCCGACATATGGGAAATCTTAACAAGTTCCAATCCATTGCCCCACAATTCGATTTTTGCAGCAAATTTATAAAAAGGAAGTTACTATTTAGAAGAGTAGGGCTTAGGTTAATCAAGCTAATTGCACATTAAAAAAACATGTCTTAGTTTATTTATATATTAATAACAAATTCATAACAAGTTATAAGAAAAAAATTGAACTACACATTTGAGCCTAACTTTTTCAAGTTACCAAAAAACCACTTGTTTTGCTGTTTTTTTATCTTTACATAAGGTGTAAACGAGTGCACTTATGTTAACCTTTGATAATTAGTCTTAGTTATCCAACATCTGGAAGAGCCAATACAGTTTTCGTTTTTGAACATTTCTGGTTGGCAACGTTTTTAATAATAATAATGTTATTTTTCATTTCTATATCATCCTTCTGCGATTTGTTGTTTTTCTCCTGATTTCTTTCACGGGTTTGTTCACACTGTCTACAAACTGTATTCGAGTTCGTAGATTTGCGTCTTGTTATTTTCCAAAAACTTTCACGTCTTATATAAAATCTTGGTTGATGATGAGATTGTTGATGGGTGACAGTGTTAATTTCATGACGTTCTTCCTCGAACATTTCAGCATCGTGTACGTGTTCATCTGATACTGAAATAATGAAAACGTTTGTTAATAAGTGTTGAAATTTTGTTCTCATAACCAAGTGCAAAAAAATACATAAAAAAATCAGAAGTAGCAACACAAAACTAACGTAAATGTGAAAACCACTGGAACAGTACCTCTGCTGATTCACGAATTGTCAGTCACCGAGGATGATTAAAACATTGTCAGTAACTGAGGGTGATTCATGAATTGTCAGTCACCTAGGTGATTCGTGAACTATCAGTAACCGAGTAAGATTTATGAAATGTCAGTCACCAAGGGTGTTCATGAATTGTCTGACATCGAGGGTGATTCATAAAGTTGTCAGTCACCAAGGGTGATTAATACAATTGTCAGTCACTGAAGGTACCATCCACCCGATAGTGTAGGCTCTGTTGACTTTCTGTGGAAATGATGCTGTAACTTATTTGCATCGTGCAGACGCGCGTATCGTTTACAAAAGACTCATCAGTGACGCTCGAATCAAAATATTTAAAAGGCCAAGTAAAGTACGAAGTTGAAGAGTATTGAGGACCCAAAGTTCCGAAAAGTTTTGCCAAATACAGATAAGGTAATATATTCCTTCGGTAGAAAATCGTTAGTGTTTTGAAAAAAAAAATTTTGTAAGCAGTTGATTTATAATTATGTACATACATGCTGGTGATACACTCGTGACGGAAACCTCCATTTGCAGTAGCATCGATCCCGTGGTTGTAGATAAACTTAGATACAATGTACTAAGATTAAAATTGTGTACTCTAGAAGCGCGTTTTGTCTACAAAAGAATGATGAGTGACTCTCGAATGTCCTGGGGTATATAAATTCTTCTTCTTATTTCGAAAAATTCTAAGTGTTGTTAGTAGTTAATTTATAATTATGATCATATCAATGATAATTCATGTCAACACAGAAGTGCTGACTATTGGGCTCGGGGAGAAACCTCCTCCAGCCGTGGCATCGACCCAGTGATTGCAAATAAACTCATCATAGATACCAGGATTAAAGTGTTGTACGTTAGACGCGCGTTTCGTTTACAAAAGACCCATCAGTGTCGCTCGAATCCAAAAAAAATAAAAGGTCAAATAAAGTACGAAGTTGAATAGAATTGAGGACCCAAATTTCCGGAAGGTTTTGCCAAATACAGCTATGGTAATCTTTCCCTGGGTAAGTAAATCCTTATTATTTCGTTAATTATAAATGTTGTTAGCTGTTAATTTATAATTATGACCATAACAATGATAATTCGTGTCAACACAGAAGGCAGGTGAAACCTGGCTGGCTTCGATTTCCAACAATGAATGAAATGGTATCAAGGGAGTTTTAGTACTACGGCAGTTGATTCTGATATGCCTGGTAGCGAAATTTTATGTATAACATATACCATAAATTGCCTTATGCGGTGTTTTCTCTAATAGTAATTTATTTCAAACAACTCATACACTATATGATAAGATAACCTAGATTTAACAAGGACGAGTTTCAACTGGAACAGTACTCCAACGGTTAAAAGTTAGAAGAATTATGGCCACCTTAACATCTCTTGGTCGATAGAAGGGACATACGTCTGGTCGTATTGAATGTATGTATAAACGTTACGCACGCTGTTCCTACAACCCATAGGATTTAAAAAAGAATCTTCGACATTTCCTCCGCAAAACAAAAAAAAAATGGTAAGATGATAATAACATCTACCAATAGTACAATTATTTGCCTCATTGTTCGTGAGTTCAAATATTGTAGATTCTATAAAATCTTCTCTTTATATTCGTTTTTCAAGCGGTAGTCATTTTGTCCAAGTTGATATTTCATTTGTCAAAGCAATTAATGCGGGTTTTTTTACCTGATATTTCAATAAGTTATTTATAATTTATAAAAACAAAAGTTAGATACACGAAGAGTACACAATGCCTAGATTTTTTTTTTATTAACTACATGCTTGGGTCTGAAAGGAATAAAATGCTACGAAACATTACAAAACGGTAGTCATTTTGTCCAAACGGGTGAAAACGTCGAAAAATCCGAAAAACGCTAATTTCCGACGTGGCATGTGCTAATTTTTTTTCAATTAAATGTTCCTGATAATAAAAACAAACCGTGTGGTGAAATTTGGAAAAAGATATTGAAGGCTGTCGAAAAAAGAAGAGTGCATATTGACAAACTCGGAACATAGATTCGACACAGATTAAATTTTGATATTTTATAACCATTTTTAGCTTTTAGTGATTTCTTGTTGCTAGAGGCAAATGTTTGATTCAGAATGCGAATGATGTGTACAACTTTTGCAAAGACAATTTGGAGACACCATCACAGTCCTCTATATGTTAAAGGTGAACTTTTCGTTATGTTGCGGAAGTACCCTGAAATAGATATAGATCATTTAAAGTCGCCCCTTCAGTAAGGTACATTCACCAAATTAAAAGTACAAGAACTCGAAAAGTTTTAGTTCGCGACTTGTCCTGCTACTCATGTTTTAACTGTCGTACTGAAACTAATTAATATACTAGCGAAATAAACTTGTGCATAAAACGGAGGTAACTGAAAGACTAATTGCAAACATCGACGAAAACAGTGTCATTGAAATAATACAACCCGGGATTGTATTACCCGTTTTTACGGACGATCCAGGAGAAGATTTCTAAAATTTAAAAAGTACATCAGACGTTAGAAAACTAAAGCAACAAACTATAGATAACTGGGGAAATAATTTTGAAGCTGGGGTTCAAATAATTGAAGGGCTGTATTTCGACAAATTGTGTGTCAAGGAAAGTACAATTCATTTCAAATTAATCAAGGGTTAAAAAAAATGATTTACTTGCATAGTGTCGGATATATTTGTATTGGTGTTGAATCAAGATATGGAAAATTTACAATGACATATGATATGCACCATAAAATTTTAGCAGCCTGTGATTAAAGTTTTGTGCTTCTAAAACTATGTTTTAATTTATTTATGGAAAACTGTATATTTAATAATCCCGTCCCATTTTGCCTTTCTACTTTATTTACGTTTATACAGCATTTTAAGGGGAATTAAGGGTAAAACATTGTTAATCGATTTCTACAACTTGAGGTAATTGATGGTAAATATACATCACAAAAATAACAGAGACAGAATCAACCCATAAAAAAAAACGAATGAAACTAACAAATTTAATTAATCGACGTCAAAATTTCAGAAAACATTCCTTGACGTCCCATTTTTGGTGTAACGTCGTGTTGTAGGAACATCGTGCACAACGTGATATACATATATTAAACCCGTGTTGACATGAAAGATCATTCCTTGTGATAACTATTTGAAAGATCAGTATATGACTTACTGCAAGAACAAATTTCTGTCCCTTCCCTACATGCCTTTCTTTTGCAGTGGCATTGAAAAGGTCTTGCCTGTCATCCCGGTCGACCTATTTTTGTAGAAATAATCAAAGTGATATTGTTCTCCAACTGAACCTTCTTTATACCACAACGTAAAGTACAATCTGGTATGCATTTTAACTGAGAATACAATGCCATTTAAAGATTTGAATGAATCGATTTATGAGATTTGAACATCGGTTAACTTCTGTTTCCTTAATTAGTACAGTCTCTGTTAAACTTATTCAAAACTTTTTTTTTTAGATTCTGTAATTTAGAACAAGATAAACTGTATAATCTTTAACTTTGAGACAGCCAATAAATTTTGCCTCTAGAAATTGTTTTTTTGTACTTTCTTGTGTCGTTAATTAGCTGTCACATTGAGGTTCAGGCTTTTATTCATAACGATAAACTGCATCCGATTTGATGTAAACTCAATGCTGTACATCAAAGTAGCTGAAACTACTGTTATAGTTTACTTTTAGTCCTTTTGTGTTGGCTCTGAATCCACAAATGCATTACCAGCCAACGTTTTGTGCACATGATATAAGTTTAACGTTTCATGAGAGTCAGTCATCTATAAATAAAGTTATGTTGTGAAACAAGAATATGTGTCCATAGGTCGACACCATGGCTGCTCACGCTATCACATTTACGTGTTAAGTGAACCGTAAAATCACGATTCACATCAATATGAGCATGTGTAATAATTTTCAATTTGATATGACAACACTTCGTGGTAATCTTCCTAAACCAAAACTTTAACCCGATGCAGAACGAACTAACGGACTGACAGACAAACGAACACAGACATAAAAACAGTATACTGCTACTATTGTAGAACGACTTAAAAACATTGTACATACAGACGGTCACCAACGACGACCGCTTGTCCGTCGAATCATAAACGTAAACATGTGCAATTACTGTGATTTGTTTCATTTTCATGGGTACCAATTAATATTCATGAGTCCAGGAACATTTAATATTTGTAGATACAATCATGGTCTCGTGGTTTTTAAAAGATTCTGTATACGCGTCAACAGGAAATTTGTAAATTCCTAAATATTTAAATCATATGGTTTACCTATACCCACTAAAAACAAGCACCCTTAGAATAATAATTATTTCACTGTATTGATATTTTACTACCTACAGCAACTATTTGGTGCCTTGAACTTGCAAATGATGTACATTAAGAAAATGAGTAATATTCCTGCTCCAAATAATCCACCTAGAATACTCCAAAATCTGCAAAAACAAGATTATTGACATTGTTAATGTTAGGAACAAAAAGATAAATAATAAAGAATTGGTAAAGTTCTCTCTTGTCGTAGACTCTTGTTCGTAACACATTTTACCTACCGCGTTCACATGAAATGAATCTTTAATATTTTTTAGAGTTATTTTTATTCATCATTAACTTAACGCATAAGACTTGAAATCAACAGAATTTGAAAGACAGCTGAAAGTTAAGTAGAAAGAAAAGATTAACAAATGTTCATTACTTTCTGTCCAACTGATTCAGTATTTCATTTATAACAAATAATATTCAGACAACATATAAAAACTGGAGAAATATTTTGTACAATGGTAAAACCAAAAACGTTCGTGTGATGGAACATTTATCTACCCTTTATGACATACATATTAAGTGCGGTTAAAATACATCTTAGTCTCGTTTTCATGAAAATTGTGTGGAGGATAACACCGCTTTCAGTTTTATAAGCAGATCTAGCTGATCAATTCTTAAATGCATGTGATAAATAATGGAGCGCCTGTGTGGCTTTGCCACGTCCGGTAAAAAATGAGATGACAAATGTAATGCCCTCGTTATGGGAGAGTGCCACATTTCCCGCCAACTAGAAAGCCTTGCGTCTTGCGACTATTTCATTGCTCCGTGAGTGATCACTTGTTACATTGTTTTTGCCTCTAGCACAACATATCTGTTTTTCTAATAGTAGACGTCTGATAATATATTCCCTGTCGGTGAGATTTTACTTGCTTAAGAGTTGTCTCTCTCCAGATAAGGTAAGACAAGAATTTCCGAGTAACTTTTCTTTGCTTGTTTTAATGAAATAGCATACACTATACGTGGACACTTACTTTTATCATTACAGATTGTATGTGTACGTTGTGTTAATATGAACTAAATTGATATCGGAGTGCGGAAGCACTGGCAATTTAAGGTGATCTCATCAATGACTGACTGAGCTGATAAAATATAGCTATTAAAATAACTAGCTCAAAAGTTAGGTACGATTCCGAATAAGGTCATTTTCCTTCTGACAAATAGTTTTAATTAACTTAATAATGAAATATCTTTTCTTGTAAAAAAAAAACATGTAAGCATATAATTAACTACCGAATAAGACTTATCACCGGGTTTGTACTTGCATGTGCATGCAACACGACGGGCGTCATATGTGAAACAGGATCTGCTTACCCTTCCGGTGGACCTGAAACCACTCCCGGGTTTTGGTGGGGTCGTGTTGCTCAGTCTTTAGTTTTCTATATTGTTTTTAAAGGCAGTGCCTTAATGCCTTTCTAGTTGCCGTGTTAATATTTCTTTCCGCGATATCCAACTTATCTACGTGGGGGGTCATTAGGCTCCAAGTAGATCCGGAAAATGTTGATTCTCTCCTCTTCTTATTGTGGTATAAAATGTTTTTTGTCTCATTTCATTTACATTGGGAAATAGAGAAACGATCATTGTGTTTTGTTAGTTTTAAAAACTTTTGATATATTTGTATTTTACATTATAAGCAGTCAACCGATTGACAAACTAGAATTATTTGAATTCCATGTGGAAAGAGGTCGGGTTAATTTCGAGTGTTATCTGCAATCTAGATGTTTATAAATCATTTCAGTCGTTGATATAATAATTAATGGTCGACTGAACATGAATTATATTATACAATTTAAAGCGCATTTCTGTTTATGCACGCGAACCCGTCTAACATTATTGTTATTTCGCAGTTATATAAAGTAGCAAATTATCGTTCCTGAATAGGTGGCGCCGTGGTAGCCGATCCTGTACTTCAACTTCCGGTTTCTGCACTGTGCAACTATTACAGTTGCATTTTTAATTAACGATGCCAAGTACTTGTTGTTGTGTACCTGGATGTCATTTAAGAGGAGGACATGCATTTCCAAATGACTTAAAAAGAAGGAAAAGTTGGATCAACGCCATGGCCCATACGCAGATTGGACGAGAACACGATGAAATCGTGGAGTCCATCTCAATCAGCTGTTGTTTGCAAGGCACATTTTACTGAAAAAGACTACGTGCAGGAAACTATTCATGGTAAAACTCTATTTTCTTTTTAAAATAAATAGTTATATATGTAATCGCCATGCGAATAAACCAAAGTCTGTTTACAACCGCAATTATCGTTTTAGAATAAAAGGGGGTGGTTAATTCAAGACGTCATAATTTTTTGGATTACGATTCAATGTGATCTGTTTGAGATTTTTTGGTGCTTGCTACAATTATAATGATTTCTTACAAGAGGTATATCATACTGAGAATTATTTTAGCAGTAATTATGCTAATGTAGTAATGACAGGAATGCATAAGCTATGCCTCATAGACTTTCTTGAAAAATATCAATGACAATGTTAACAGGAACAAAACAATGACATGCTCTCATCTATATTATAGTTATTTAGGTACAAACAATGTATATTTGTTGCATACGTCTCTCATTGTTTGTCCTTTGGATTTACATAACATACATTTTGATGTACATTGAATCAGGCTAACATAGTTTTATCCAGATTGTAATGAATAAATCTAGTTAATATTTTGCCAGGTAGTACAAAGGAATTATAGTTATCTCGTACCATTGTAAACTCGTACCAATGTCAACTCGTACCACTAAACAAAAACTCGTACCAATCCAAACTCGTACCACTGCTAACTCGTACCACGGTAAATTCATACCATTGTAAACTCATACCAACTTATTTAAATGCATTCAAATGGTGTTTAATGATGAATATATACTTTAATTTCAGTCAATACCTCTTAAGTCTGTAAAATGTATATAATTTGAAATTACAATAACCAATTTGTAGCTAATTTTCCTTGTCTAATTGGATAGAGAAAACCGTGGCAGATTGGCTTTGTTGTCTCCCTTGAATAGACTCTTTTTCAAACTTTTACTGACAACTATTTGATTTAATTTTTAATCATTCCAAATCAGTAACATTGAATAGATTTGGGTATTATTCTATTGTTTCTAAAAGGAATTTTATTTAATGAAAGAATTTATTGATTGTGTTTTAAAGGTTTAAAATTGTTTATGACCAACAGTTAGAAAGTATGAAATTAATTTTTATACAATATTCAGCATATTTCAGCAGAATATGACCATGCTTATATGATTATACAAGTGGATTAGTTAAAGATAAAAAAAAAACAAGTTGATTAGTTAATAATCACACAATCAAAGGAATTTAATATATTTATTAGCATGGTAATTAAGAAATTACATTCGTATTTTTGTCTAAGTTTTCATTAAAATCTGGTATAAATTTCAAAGATATTTTAATTTTTTGTATAAAGCTTAAAAAAAAAAATAATCATAAAACATTCGTATTTTTGTCTAAGTTTTCATTAAAATCTAGTATAAAATTCAAGTAATTCAACTTTTTTTGTTTAGTTTACCAAAAAAAAAATCATAAAACATTCGTATTTTTGAATATATTTTTAATGGTATGAGTTTGCAGTGGTACAAGTTCTGATTGGTACGACTTCCCAGTGGTACGAGTTTACGTTGGTACGAGTTAACTTTTTTGGTACGAGTTTACGTGGTACGAGTTTACAATGGTACGAGTTAACTTTTTTGGTACGAGTTTACGTGGTACGAGTTTACAATGGTACGAGTTAACTTGCTTCCGTACAAAGTATGCATTGCTAATGGAAGTTCATTTAATTATAAAAAAACTAATGTTTTATAACCTTTTTCAGGGCACAAACCCACCATACAGAGACTTAAGTCTACTGCCAATCCCAGCCTATTTTCCTGGACCAAGCAAGAGACTGAATCGTCCGCAAAAAGAAAAATCAGGGCAGTTTCCTGTGAAAACAAAAGAACTAAACTTGATGAATATTGTAGTAGAAATCTAGAGGAAAGTTTTGATTGTAAAGTTGGTTTTCCTGAAGAAGTAATTCATACTGCAGACAGGATTTATGACTATCCACCACCAACTGCCGAGCTAATGTTGAGCTTCACAGATGGAATTACGCAAACACCATCAATGCCTATATTTTCAGCAGAGAATTTTGAAATGAAGACACGTGACACAGCCATGCATTTTTATACCGGTTTAGAGTTGTAGAGTTGTATACTAAATTTTTATTTGTTTTGACCACACTTGGTCCAACAGCACATTGTTTGAGATGCATATATTTTCAAATTGATAGGGTGTCATTTGAAAATCAGTTTTTTTATGACTTTGATGAAATTGATGCATTATACAACCAACTTTGAACTGTCTAGATTCTAGATTGAAACTAGTGTTAAAAATATTGTGTAAACATGGATTGTTTTTATGTCTAAACAGTGGCGTGAGGCTAACACTTGGCCATTTAGTGGTTTAGTCAGGTATTTTTCGCCATCCAACTTCAAATTAAAGTTTCCTACAACTTGGATTATTATTGACAGCACAGAATATCCCGTGATAAAACCTAAAGCTCCTAGAGCTCAGGCAACCTTTTCATCATATAAAAACAGAAACACTGAAAATACTTGTATGTTGGACACCTGGTGGTTTAGTCAACTATGTCTCTAATGCATATGTTGGTTGTACCAGTGACTGTGAAATAGTTGAAAGATGTAGAATAGTTCAATTATGTGATCCAGGTGACAGTGTGATGGCAGACAAAGGTTTAAATGTGCAAGATTTGTTTGCTCACTTTTTTCAAAAAAAGAAACAGAATTAGTTCCAAAACTCTTATACGGGATAGAAAAGTCTCCAATTAACACGTGCACATAGAGCTAATTATTGGACTTGGCAAAACATACAAAATTCTAATAAATCCTATGAATGGAACTGAAACAAAACTTTCATCTGAAATAACATTTAGTTGTTTTATGTTGTGTAATTTTAGAACTTGCATTGTGCCAAAGGATGCATAAATAAAAGTGACGCAATGAAGTTTGTTCTGATATATATATATAAATATTATTTACAATTACATGCACATGTAAATTGTAATGCATATAAAAATAAGGAGATGTGGTATGATATTCAGTGAGTTTATCGAACCAAAGTGCATAAGAAATGGGTTAAGCAGTTACAGGTGTTACTGTCACCATACAATCTCCAACAATTAGAAAAACTTGTACCGTGTAAAAAATTTCAGAGATCTTACAACTTAGTTTTGTTGTCTCACCTTGACTTTGGTGAATTGTTTATATCTGTTGATGTAAATATAAAAAAGAAGATGTGGTATGATTGCCAATGAGACAACTCTCAACAAGAGACCAAATGACACAGAAATTAACAGCTATAGGTCACATTACGGCCTTCAACAATGAGCAAAGCACATACCGCACAGTGAGCTATAAAAGGCCCCGAAATGACAATGTAAAACAATTCAAACAAGAAAACTAACGGCCTAATTTATGTACAAAAAATGAACGAATAAGAAATATGCAACACATAAACAAACGACAACCACTGAATTACAGGCTCCTGACTTGGGACAGGCACATACATGTACATACAGAATGAGGCGGGGTTAAACATGTTCGCGGGATCCCAACCCACCCCCTAACCTGGGACAGTGGTGTAACAGTACAATATAAGAGCGAACTATAAAAATCAGTTGAAAGAGGCTTAACTCATCAGATGGATAAATACAAATACAAATGGACGTGGCCAGGTAGTTGTACATCCAAACAACAAAAAGACACTAAGTACAGATCTGAGAGTACTCGCATTTACTGACAGCTAGTTCAAAGCCACAAACAACTGATAAAAAAATCTTGCATCTAAGACTAAATTATCAATCCGTAAGCTCCCTTTAGAATTTTATAAATTTCAGATTTTACATTTCTGAGTTATGGGGTTTTATTCATTAAAAAAGGGGGGATTTTTCAGTTTTTGGACAACAATTCAAAAATGCTTTAAGCAGTTCGCATGAAACTTTGGTGAATTATTTATAGCTATTGATGTAATCTCCCTATTGATTTTCATAAATTTCAAATATGACATTGAGAAGAAATTGAACTTTATTTGTTTATAGTCTGGCAACAGATTTATTAAGTATTGCGCAACAGCACAGTGTATTGCACAACAGCAAGAAATCTTTAATTGAATATAAATTCAATTCATATAAACGATTTCAAGTTCTTTGACTACATTTATTCAGAAACTATAATATGTCAAATATTTAATTACAATCCAAATTCAGACCTGTATCAAGCTTGAATATTGTGTCCATTTTTGCCCCAACTGTTCAGGGTTGGACCTCTGTGGGTGTATCCAGCTGCGCTCAGCGAATCAGTTTATTACTTAATTAAGAACTCCTTTTTGTCGAGCATGCGACTTTTGTCGCAGAAAGCTCGACATAGGGATTGTGATCCGGCGGCGGCGTTAGCTAACTTCTTAAAAGCTTTATATTTTAGAAGGTGGAAGGTCTGGATGCTTCATACTTTGTATATGGATGCCTCATGTTACGAAGTTTCCGTCAGTCACATGTCCAATGTCCTTGACCTCATTTTCATGGTTCAGTGACTACTTGAAAAAAAAGTTAAGATTTTTTGTAATGTTAAATTCTCTCTTATTATAAGTAATAGGATAACTATATTTGGTATGTGCATACCTTGCAAGGTCCTCATGCCCGTCAGACAGTTTTCACTTGACCTCGACCTCATTTCATAGATCAGTGAACAAGGTTAAGTTTTGGTGGTCAAGTCCATATCTCAGATACTATAAGCAATAGGTCTAGTATATTCGGTGTATGGAAGGACTGTAAGGTGTCATCTGAGCTTGACCTCATTTTCATGGTTCAGTGGTTATAGTTAAGTTTTTGTGTTTTGGTCTGTTTTTCTTATACTGTATGCAATAGGTCTACTATATTTGGTGTATGGAATGATTGTAAGGTGTACATGTCTAGCTGGCAGGTGTCATCTGACCTTGACCTCATTTTCACGTTTCAGTGGTCAAAGTTAAGTTTTTGAGTTTTGGTCTTTTTTTCTAATACTATATGCAATAGTTCAACTATATTTGGTGTATGGAAATATTTTATGATCTATATGTCAGTCACGCAGGTTTTTTTTTTACCTTGACCTCATTTTCAATGTTCATTGCTCAGTTTTAAGTTTTTGTGTTTTGGTCTGTTTTTCTTAAACTATAAGCAATAGGTCAACTATATTTGTTGTATGGAAGAATTGTTAGCTGTACATGCCTGCCTAGCATGGTTCATCTGACCTTGACCTCATTTTCTTGGTTCATTGGTCAATGTTTAGTTTACTTGGTTCATTGGTCAATGTTTAGTTTACTTGGTTCATTGGTCAATGTTTAGTTTACTTGGTTAATGTTAAGTTTATGTGACAGTTGTAATAAAGCTTTATACTTAGGACTATCAACATAATATCAATGATTAGTAAAGAAGGCGAGAAATTTCAGCGTGTGCACTCTTGTTTCATTCATCAATTCTTTATACTTGGAAATATAATTTTGCTTGGAGTTATAGTTTCTAAAAAAAGTATTGTCTTTGAAAGAGTTGACATGTTGCAATGTACATTTATTCTACATAGTTCTATGGTACCAAATCAAAAGTTTATATTAAAGAAAGAAGTCAAAGGTTTCCCATCATAGTTTAGTTACATACATTTTTTTTGTACCTGAGGTCGTTGAATATAGATCATTATATAAATAAGGAGATGTGTTATGATTGCCAATGAAACAACTATCATCCATACATTGTACTTACCAGTAACAAACCACATTTGCAAAGTTGAATAAAATACAGTTGATAACATTTACTTATTACTAAAAAGAAAATGCCAAACTATTTTAAACAGTATTGGACTATAAACATAGATAAAAAAGGTATAAACTGGACATAATGCACTAGTTTATAAACAAGTGAGAACAATCGCCTTCATATAGTGCTCAGAATATTACATTCATAAAACTTTTTCAATATCATTAGAGAACTCTAAATCTTAAATACTGAAAGCCACCTCTGATAAGTACAATGTACTATGCAAGATAATGATATAACTGGACTAACAATACACACAACCTGTAATTAACTGCCTTTACAGCGCTTTCGCGCTTTGATTGTATAATGCTATAATTTGCCTTTGGTCGTTTTTTTTTCTTGCTATGGCATTGTCAATTTGTTTTCGACTTATGAGTTTGAATATCCTTTTGGTATCTTTCGTCTCTCTTGAGATGAAAAGACAATTTTTGACTTCATTCCGTTAACGACGGTAACTGATAATCCACTGTTTGCCAACTTTCATTACGATGCATTTAAAATTGATTTCAAAAGGAAGAAATTAAATTAATGTCAATTTGTTCATATTTCCAATCACTTTTCAGAAACTTTGGACGTTCTTATGTAAATTGAATATGGGGAACTTTTGTTCTTTATGCAAATTGGTCGGTTCTACAAATTTTGTATGTTCTGAAGTAACTAAATGAATTAAAATCGTACATGCGTTGCATGTCATATGAAATGCTATTCAGCAAGATCACACAAGGAAGATATTACATTGTGAAGTGGAGCAACTAACTGAGCTAGAAAGAGAAATTTAATATTTGTTAAAGTGTTTTACCATAAATCATTAAATTATTATTGTTCATTAATTTTGCGCTAATCGGCATATGCAAAAGTTTCAATAGACTTAGTACATGTATGTGTATTTTTAAAAGGAAATTACAGTTTTCCATATAAAAATTAAGGCGTTCTAGTAATTCTGTGCTTCGTCCGTTAGTACCGTGACATCATTGAGTTAATTTGGTATTACATGTACTTTTCCAACATTGATGATAACAATTAAATGTATCCAAACAGTCGCCTAGAATTATCAAAACTTTTATGAAGGATATATAATCCTTGGTCTAATTTTTAAACTTCAGTATCATGTTACTTTTTTGCAACAGGTGGTCGGTTCCCCGATAACTATGCAAAACAGGTCAATATCTGCAAGGAGAATATGATGCTTAATTTTCGATCCTTGGTAACTGAAAGACAATTCATCAATATTTGCTTAATTTTCAAATCATTAGAATTCTGATGACCCGTAAAAGAACACCTATATACAAAAACTGATCTATTTCCTTTATTTATTGTTCGAACCTAAAATCTTTTCTTTTTTTTTTCGAAATACATAAGAATTCCAGCATTATATTAGCATGCGCATACCGTTACAGACAAGTTCCAGATTAACAATCACCCCTTTTTTAGTTTTTTTATGTTGCAACTTAGGTGATCGCCCTGAACATGCATGAAATATTTGACACAGGACATAAGCAATCAATAATGATATAACTTAGAATAAATACTAGAAGCGATATTCGTTACATTTCAATTGTGAGATCGTCGTGTATGAAATTTGACCATCCGTGAAAAAATATGACTTGATACATGTACTTCGATATTGAAAAAATGAAGGAGAGAATGTTTCAGTTGTTTGGAAATCCCTATAACAAAGCATGTCCAGATTTGTGAACTTTTTAATCTTAATTTTCGCTTTATCTCCGTGACAATATCAGCACTCAAATCGGATTTCCCTGTACTTTTAAAGATATTAAGAGTTAAACTATTTTTTAATTGGAAAGAAGACTCTGAGGCTACAAACTTTAATTTTAATCGATTTTGTATTTACAAGATTGCATGCAGTTTCCATTTATCATCAATGAATTTGATTAAAATATTTCATTCCATCAAATCTAGAAGAATTATCAAAATTAAATCAGTTCGCTTTATTTTATTTAGATTACTTAGAAATAAGCCTCTCTTAATTGTTATGTCAATTTTACGCCTGCTTATTTCAGCGTTCAAAGATAACAACACACAGAGAGTTTGATTGATATTAGATAATAACTCCACTCCATATACGTTTTCAATATTTTGTGACACTGGGTTTTAAAATGGAATTAGTGTTTGTTGAGCAGAAAAGGAAATTAATCAGCACCTGTTGTCAGTGCTTGCAAAACCGTAACAAACAATTCAAGAACACGCTTTGATAAATCATTATTTATAGTACATTTATTTATGATCTTGATTTTGATAGAGTGTGTTTCAAAAGTGAAGTATAAATTAATGATACACAATTTGATAGAGAGGAATAATTTTGAAAGTTAAATCTCTAGATGTATTTTCTAATTTTTGTGTTCTTCTGTTTCCCTCTCATTGACGTATAGATCTCAATTCTTTTCAAACGGGTCTAATGCTGTCTTAAGCATGTTATGTGAAGTTTTATTCGTATTCGTCAAAAGAGAAAACCAACGCCCTTATTTATGTTTAAATCAATAAACCAAACGCCAATATAACAGACTGCAACAAACGGCAACCGCTGAATTACTGGCTCCTGACTTGGAACAGGAACAGAAATAATGTGGCGGGTTTAGACATATTTGTAAGTACTCAAACTTTCTCTTAACCTGGGACAATGGTTTAACTGCAAAACATAATAATGTAAAAATCAGTTGAAAATACGTGCTGTGTTGAATTTGACTTCAAAACATCACCGGCAGAATAAAGTTAAAAATAGAATTACTAGTAGACCCTGTTGATACTGAATTTTTTTTAAAGGAAAGGGTTAGAAACTAGAACTTTTCATTAAAATTTTATAGATTGTGTGTTTTGTTTTTTTATCTACCGATTAAAATAACTATTTCCTGGAGCTTAGCAATTCTTGATTCATTAAGTTGCAATAAGTTCTAACTAAAAGGGCAATCTAATCAACAATTTAATTTGTGAATCATCACATTTGTTTTAGATACTGTCTAATTTTAAATAAGACAAACATCGACAAAAGTTTAAGAGAATTCAAACGTACTAATTACATAATATGCATGTTAAAACTTACAAAGTCGGTGAAATGCTAGAACCACTGCTGCTCGTGACCGAGGTTGAACATATCGTAGAAGAACAAGTATTTAACAGGGAACCAGTACAGCAAAATTCATTTGACGTACATGTCAGCTCTTGGTAGGTATTACTGCTATCAGTATAGCTACAGTTTGTCGTTGCCATAGCATAGAAGCATTTTGACTAGTGTCTGAAAAGGAACAAGAAAAAAACATTATTTTTTTTCTATTGACCTGCTTTTTTATCCATTTTATAAAAATATGGAGATGAGGTATGATTGCCAAAGAGACAACTATCCATAAAAGCACAAATACAGAGGATGTAAGCAATTGTTTTCCTTCTGTAGAATGTATGCATAACAGAGTTCTCGAAAAGTGGTAGTCCAAAAGTTTTGACTACCAAAATTTTGCAAAGGACCAACACATTTTTGGTATTTTGCAATTAAAATAATACTGAGGACCAGCAGATTTTCGTCAAGGACCACCAGAGATAAACGATTTTGAGAACTCTGGCATAATACGCTTAAGATATTTGGACCATTATAAAAGAGCAACCATCATTTCTACCATGATTTATTATTATAGTATTGATTCAGAAGTTTATTTTGAAGGAGTTTATTGGTGTGTAAACTCAACCTGAATTATGTCGGGAAGACTTCGACCTATGTATTCCAGTGAAAGGTCCAGTTTACACATCGATATTATAAACTTTACTACAACGAACCTAATCAAATTAAAATAAAATGTACGAAAACTGCGCACAGATCGAATATTTGTCTTAGATAGATGATTTTTTAGTAGTTGTTATTGGCTTTGAACTAGCTGTCAGTAATTGCGAGTACTCTCAGATCTGTACTTTAAGTCTTTTTTGTTGTGAGGGATGTATAAATTCCCTGCCACGTCCGTTATGTATTTTTGTTAGATGTTTTTCGGCTTTGTATCGATCTGATGGGTTTCTCAATTGAATTGTTTTATATTTTTCATGTCGGGGCTTTTTACAGACGACTATGCGGAATGGGTTTTTAACCATGCCACATCTCCGTATTTTTATAGGTATTTTGCCTGTTTAGGAATTCATACTCGTGTCGTAATGATTTCAGTTGAAATGACGCTCGCCAATGAAACAAGACATATCATCGTCATTTCCTTCGCCTATATCAGCCTGCTCAGTCGCTCCGTTATTCTCGTGTGCGGCTTTGCGATGTGAGCAAAACTTTTCAGCGACGTCACAATGTCTGAACAGAATCGAAGTTATCAGCGACGTCACAATGTCTGAGGAGAAGTTATCAGTTGCGTCACAATGTCTGAGGAAACGTTATCAATCTTATTTTCGACAAGCGTTTAACTGTCTATTGATGTGAAAACGATCGGAAATAGCATGATTAATAGATTATCGGGTTTTCTGCTCATAGAAATCGTAAAATATCAGCAGCTCGACACAATGTGAAGCTTTTTCGCTCGTTGGCTACGCTCACTCGGTTGATATTAAGAACCGCGACTGATATTTTACGATAACAATGTGTAGAAAACCCATTAATCTATATACATAAATACATGTATCTGCAACATTAAAATTCAGAACTGGTTTTAAGACTGAATAAATTGTATATCAACGGTTTTACCTATAGAGATATTTTGTTTCGTAATGTGAGTTAATTAAAAAAAAATATGCGATAATTCCCACAAAAAGTTGACGCACCGGTAGATTTTAACAAAAGCTCTTTCTTATCCAGGAAATTAAGTTAAAACATTTAATGTTCACATTCTGACAATCATAATGTCTCTTCTAACACTTTATTTATCAGAGGTATGGAATGACGTCTTATGATCGATAAAACAGTTCTTGCAGCAATCAATTATTCATAATAGATATCATTTGTATTGTGATAAATCTTTGAATTTAAAATGCTATATGAAATCTTTACAATCAGGCTAATGGTTAAAACAAAATAGTCTTTTATTTCATGTCTACGGCTAACATACTAACACTACTTCCTCAAAATTTGTTTTAAGAATTAATAATTCATTCATTTGAAGGAAATTGTTTGAAAGTTTTTCATTACCAATATTTCTCTTGTTGTAATTCTCCAGACTTTTAATTGAGAATTCAAATTTCAAATTGCAATATCTCTAACAAAAATGTTTGAATTGTTAATGTTCGTCGGAAAAAATGAAACTGAATTGATCAATCAGTCTTGGAAGAACACTTTATTGAGATTCAATACCTGTTTTTTCTTAGAGTGCCATCAATTAGTTTCAATTTACAACGAAAAATTAATTACAGTAACTCGTATCTGCAATAAAAGGGATAATTTGACTGGAAACAAATCACTTGCAGAAATATAACTCATAAAATCGCATAATTTACAAATGAAGAGTGCATTCAAACACGTTTCATCTTTAATCAACTAAGAGAACATAAATGTTTTAAACATGAATTCTACTTGATGCTAAAATACTATTTTTATCTGCAAAATCAATTTTAAACACAATTATACAAAAAGTAAAGGAATATTTAACACATTTCTTTACATAAAGATGTAGAAATCGAAACGAAAAAGCTTTCAGAACAGTCATTTTTCATGAAAGCTGTCAATCTCTCCGGTACACTGCACACAAAATTATAAGCATACATATGTATTCGTAAGAAACATGCAGAAACATTTCACATGGGTCATGCTGTCAAAATGTGGAGACCATCTGAGGTTAGAACTGATATTAAGTCTAAAGTCCTTTGTTTTTGTTTTACTGTAGCTAGGGGTATTCCATATATTTTGTAGGTCGCGTCACATAATGTGCGTCTGTTTGTGTTGCGCAGTACTCCACACTTGTCGAGGTTGAAGGACATGGCCCAGTTTTCTTACCGTTCTTGCCACATATCCAACTTATTGTGAGTTCACTGTACCTTTTGAATGTTTGGAGTTTCTTCACTGGTCAAGATAACAAAAGAGGCTGTAATCGTATAAAAAGTACATGAAGTCCGCCATAAGTTAAATTTTAGTTCCAGTCTGGAAACTCGTTAGTTCAATAGTTGTCGTCATTCTATATATCTTCATGCAATTTATTTGACGTTACTAGCAGATCTTTAATAGCTTATGTCAAAATAATTCCATGTCTAGACTTGTAAAGAATAAGTGGTGTTCTGTTAAACGTTTTTTAAATGTTGTTTGTTCATTTATTTTCGTCATTTCATTCATCAACAGTTTTAAGTCAAAGAGGTATCTGACATTAAAAGAAAGGTTTCGTATCGAAATTATCTTTTTTTAAGTACTCCTTATATAAGGCGATGTAATCACGGGGTGGGGAATTCTACGAGAAAAGGATGTACCAACGAATACAAAAGAAAAACACATGAACCAGATATACTATCTTGGTACAAGCACTAAATGTATATGGTAAATACACTAAACTATAAACAAAACAAAAACAAAAAAAACGATAAAAAACGAACACATTCCTTTTCCCTCCATGAAATTTTCAACACCACATGTTACATGCAAAACATACGGAATCCGACCATTTACGTAGCTTTAATTGTTTCAAATTTTACCAATTTCTATTTAAATTTGATACATTTGTGTAGCAGGGATTGGGGCGTAATTGATCGAATGGTTTGACGTCCTTTACAACCCCTATAGTATACTCTTTCCCCTGAATTTGCAATAAGAGATAGGTCATGCATATTCGGTATGATGTACAACCTGGACCATTAAGAGTATTAATTTTGTTTTGAAAGAAAGTGAGTCACCGGAAAATTAAATGTACATGTTACTAATTGTAACATACAGCTAGGGTTTTTACTGTGTATAATTATTTACTTAAACAATACGGCTGTTTCCTTTGTTATTAAAAACATATATATTAAGTTATAACGGGTAACATTTTTTCACGATCATTAGTGTAAACATATTTTATTAAAGAAATCGTTATGTATAGCTACAAGAGTAAAGAAATAAATACGAAATATACAAGTGATTCAATAATTGGGATTAGGAAACAAGAGCGGTGCTCTTATATAATTCCGTCTCCCTTTTCACGATCATTAAAGATTCTAAATTATGGTACTTAGTAAAGCCAACAAAAATCATATCAGAAATATAAATCAATTGTTTTAAAAACAATTGTAAACGGTCTTTCCCCTCCGAAACATGATTGATTGGTTGGTTGGTTGGTTGACCGACCAACTGATTAAACACGTGGGATCGGGTCTCTTGGAACACGCGACAAAGAAAGCAATGAGATCTTGGACTCCCTATTAAACACATGGGACCGAAACATTGATTGATTGGTTTATTGGTTGGTTGGTTGTTTAAATTGGTTGGTTGGTTGATTGATTAAAAGTTGTGCATGGCACTCTCTCTATGCAAGGCATCGGACTTAAGGTCCATATTCTGTCGAACGTGGCTGCTTATTTATACATCCCGCACAACCAAACGGACGCCTTAAGTTAATAATCAGAACAAAATCAATAGGTCTTTCCATGGAAAAGTGGAAAGACCTAATAAAACAATGCTTATAACTGTTGTACATTTTTGGAGTAAGATTTATGAAATATGCTAAGTTTAGAGACAAGAGTTGAAACCTGCATTTGTGTGCCCTGTTCGATCTACTTTTCAGTAGCAATTGAAAAACATTGACAGACATGCTTGTAATCACTCCGGCGTTAATGGTCGACTAGATAGAGTTTCTTTTATACCGTTTTAAACTTTGTTTCGTGTTTTATTTAGAATATCGTAGTTTTCATTTCATTTCCGCAAATGTTATATTTCTTTCCGTGTTGAATTCATTGTTTGTCTACACGCAGTTATCCTGTTTCAGCTATTTAAAAACTACATTTTGAAAATCCATGTAAACTTATATGATTGATTCACTATTATGTTGTGGAATGCAATTAACAAAAAACCTAAGCAGCTTCATTATTATGTAAAGTTCCTTAAGTACATATAATATATACCGAGGATTATGGAGCAATTATATCGAAACGACGTCTTGCGTGTTCTTTGTCTATATGAATCAATCATCTATCAAGAAAGTAAACATTGATACTAAAAGTCCAAATTGCCCATGCAGGAACAATGGATACTGGTAATGAAGATAAAAAATTAAAAAGGTAAAAAAAAATTAAAAAAATTGATATACTAGATAATAGACACATGCCATATTGGTTTCAACATTATTCCTGTGAAACCCT